GAAACTAGAGTTGCTTTAACTTTGCGTTTAATATATGTGTCACCTAATTGGTTCACATCATGAGCTGGATTTGTAATTCTTAAATGAGTTTGTTTATCATCAAAATATGGAGCATCAGAGTCATAGCATGAACTTTCAAGTTCTCTATAATATCTTCTACCGTCATTCTTTGCGAATATTTCATTTATCTTTTCGAATGAATGAAACACATTTCCATTAATCGGTTTAGTGTTTGGCACCAAATAGTTAGTCGTCATTTATTAATAAATAAAAAATCAAAATTAAAAGATGAAAATGAATTTTTAATTTTAATGAAATAATCAACTATGGCTGCAGGTATATTTAAGAAACTGTGGGATAGAGTAAAAAGAGGAGCGAGTAAAGTTTGGGAAACATTGAAGAAGGGGGCAAATTGGATATTTAAGAATAAAGAAGCAATTAGTGACGTTGCTGAATCAATAACACCAAAAGCCGCCCCAATAAGAGAAATATTAAATAAAGGAGAAAAAGTTTATCAAAGACTACAACCGATACTAAGATAAAAATAATTTTAAGCCGCTAAGCGGCGAGATGATCCATAGGATCTCATATTTATTTTTCCACTATCTACCTCCTATTTTATTAAGTATTCCTTCAGCAATTCCACCAACTGCGTTACCTGCTTGTGCTTCCATCGCCGGATTACCTGCTTTAGTACCTAATACTCCACCTATGATAGTTCCTGCCGTTTTCGCTACTGGTGCCAAAAAGTTTGCAATGGGTTTAATAATCTTTTTATGAACCCAACCCGCAGCTTTCTTAATTCCATCCCATAATTTTTTAAAGAATCCTGCCGCCATTTCTGATTTAATATTAATTAAAAAATATATTTCATCACTTATATTCTAATTTTTATTTAATGATAAATGAAACCGATTTTAAAAATAAATGAAACAGAGGAGGAAGAAATAAATGAAAGTGAAAATGTTCAACAAAAAATAAACGTTGTTAAACCAATTACTGAAATAAAAATTTTTTCATCTGTTGAAGAATTTAATGACTATTATGCTAATAATAAAAAATTATTTGAAGAATTGACAACGTGTAAATTGAATAAAATGTTTAAAGTTGATGGATTCAAAATTTCAAAAATAAAGGGGGTGGTTAGTTTGAAATCTATTCCTCAATCAAGAATCACATCATTAATGAAAATATATGATTTAACAAAAAGAATAGAAGAGATTGAAGAAAGAATGAATCAAATAATTGATTTCATAAATTCAAATAATCATTAGTTTCTTAAAGTTCAATGTTGAACTCATCAAATTCTTCTTCATCATTACCATTACCTTTAGCGAGTTTATTTACTCTTTCAACTTTATCTTTTGATAGTCTTTCGTTTAATTTTTTCTGAAGTTTTTCGTTACCAAGTTCTAAAATTTTACATGGATGATATTTAAACCTGTTAAATTCTTTTTCCTCAGTTTTAATCATTAATCTACAAAGAACTTTAGTGAGGTGGTTTTGTTGTTTAAACCATTTATCCTTAATATTTGTTATAAATTCAATATCCGGAATTAATTCCCAAATTTTTGAATTTTCGATTAATTTACCATCAAATGCAAAAGCAATAGGTTTAATATTAAACTTACCTTTATAAAATAAACTTTGTATGTAATCATCAAAATAAACGTCTACTTGTTTAACCTGGGAGAGAATTGGTGAAAGTTTATCCATTAATTGATTCACAGTCACGAATTTTGATTCACTCATTTCTTACGAATTAAAAAAATAAATTATTCAAAAATGTAAGACATGAATTTTTAAAGTTTATTTTTAAAAAATTTTTTTTTATTTCATTATGGTAGTGAATCTTTTATTCATGAAAATAATTATTTCTAATTTCTTTTACTCTCTCGTACATACTAGATTTAAAGAATTCAGAACATTTCCCATAATCTCCTAAATGTTTTCTTATCCCTAACGTGTGCCAGTTATTATATGAAACTGAATAAACTTTATCTTTATCTTTACACCTTTCATCACTTCCAATATATTTATATCTCAGTTTTGATTTAGCATTTTCATATTCATTAGCGTTTAATAATTCACAGTCTTCCTTTTTAAATTGATGTTTAAGATATTCAGGATTTAATACTCTACGTTTATATGCTCCTAACTTAGTTCTAAAGGTTTTTCTACAAAATTTAGGAATTCCATCCTCTTTAATGTCATCAATGATTTCCATTTCATTATTTTCAATTTCTTCTTCTCGTTTATGAGGTCTTTGATTATGACTCCATTGATTCCATGAAATTAAATATTCTTTATCATTATATTTATACCTCATTAGCTTATTTTGGCTTTCATATTCATTTAATAATTCACAATCTTCATTTTTAAATTGAAGTTTAACCCATTCAGGATTTAAACAATGTTTAATTAATCGCGGAATATCTGACATCATCTATATATAGCTTCTTTTATAAAAGATAAAAAAATAAATTATTAGGGAAAACCGCAACCACTTTTTTTAATCACGATTTAAATATATAAATCGCGATTTTTTAGAAAAATCGCGACTTTTTTAAAATTGCGATTTTATTGTGGTCGCGATTTTTCTAAAAAATCGCGATTTTTATGGAAAATTGTGATCAAAATTAAACGCGATTTTCTTTATCAATCGCGAACATAGAACAAATCGGAACCATGATTTTGGACCTCATTAAGCGAAAAGGTCGCAATTAAATTCAATAACAAAGCAATTCACAAAGATTTTTTGAATCTAGAATGGCTGTTTATCCATTTTAGACTGCTCACAATATGGTTTTTCTGCATACTTGCCGAAATCAGAGATCTAAAATCAAACAATCTCGATAACAAATACCTCAATCCCACTTTACTGGTCAAAATTCTTGAAGTCTTACTTTACTGCACTAATTAATCATAATTTACCTTTAACTAAAAAAATATTACATAAATCTAACAAAAAAACCTTTAGCAATAAAAATACATTTGCTCAAGCCTATCGGCAACTCAAATCTAAAAAACTTTTTATAACATTCTTATTACAATTTTTATTTTATTCTTATATTTATATTTTTTAGTTCACTTTTTAAATAATGATCTTTAGATTGAACCAATAACGCGATTTTCCATATAAATCGCGATTTTTTAGAAAAATCGCGACCACAATAAAATCGCAATTCATTAAAAAACGCGATTTTAAAAAAGTCGCGATTTTTCTAAAAAATCGCGATTTATATATTTAAATCGTGATTAAAAAAAGTGGTTGCGGTTTTCCCTATTTTAAAATTAATGAAAGGTGACCAAACTATTTTTTGAAAACAAAAATTCGGTCACTATGAATGAAAGGTGTACAATGAAACGACAAAGAGTTTTCACTATGAATGAAAGGTGTAAACTCCTCTTAATGAAAGGTGACCAAACTATTTTTCCGCCATAACTTTAATGGTACTATTTCAGCGTGTACAATGAATACAAAAATTCTAAGAGTGCCACATAAAATAGTACTTTAGACTTGAGTTAATGCTACCAAGCAAATGTTAAAAAGATGACTTTAGTGTTTTGATAATCAAAGATTAAAATCATTATTGTCTAAATCAATAATCATAACGACAGAAGTTAATGTTTTTTCATCAGTGCTTTAAATCCACTTTTAAAAGTATACCTCAAAAATCAAAATATCAAAAAAAATTGGCCGATAGGTTTGGCTTTAATTTTTGTCTGCTTTTATGATTTGATATGGATGTTATAATTTTAAAAGTTGAGCCAAATTCACCAATAGATTTTTGAGATTTGCAAATACTCAATAATTTTCAGCGTGTTATCTTTTATTAAAAGAACTATTTGGTTTCAGTATCATATAAATTGATATTTACTTTCTATTTGAACCTTCATTTAGCTAATGATTTAATAATACAGATTTCATCTAGTCCTTATAAGAGAATTTTGAATTTGTTATAATAAAAAAACAAACAGATATAGCTTACACTTCTATAATAAAGATACCTTTTATAGAAATCAGTATGAAATGTGTTTTGGCTTATTGGAAGCATATCAGACATAATCGCCATAATCAAAAAATCTATATACCCAATAAGTAATAAATTTGTCGATATAGATTTTCCATAAAATTAGTTTTTAGTCTGATCTTAAAATAAATTTAATTTTTTATAAAAAAAATCACATTTAAAAGTACCTTTTTAGTAGCTCGAAATCCTGTTGGTGGATTTGGGGCATACTTCAAAATTAGCTTTTCTTCTACATATGCAAGCTATATTTTAAATATGGGGCAAATCGGATCGGCGAAAGGAGTTTAGTTACCTTTAATTAATGTTAATTTTTTAAATGATTTATATATAAATATATTTTAATGCATCGTCTATATATAGATGTAACAAAAAAAGTCACTAAACCCGTCATATCCTACTACTAAAATTAAAATCTTTTTCAGAATATTTGTACTCATAAATACTAAATGGCCATTTGATATGAAAATAGCACACTGAAATTCTAATAAACTTGTTTGATAATCAATTTTACAAAATTATTACAACTTAAATGTTCCTTCTTTTGTTTCAGCAAGCAAATGATTTCACTTTTTGTATATTAACATATCTTGGATTCTATCACTTCTACACATATTATCAAAAATTATATGGTTCTGTGCATTATCGTTTGCTGATAGTTATTTAATAATATTATATTGCTGAGTGGAGCTCTCTTTATCTCCAATTCTAAACATTTAACAATAAGATACTTGTGAATTATCAGGTAAATTAAATATCTAGGATATCAACAGGAATTAGGATCTCCATTCAAAAGTTACTTTTCTACTTTCACTATTTACTCAAAATTCCAGTGAGAAATTATGTATTCATTTTATATAGTTTTATTGAGAAAGCAGTAGATTCTTATTTGGAATGCACATATTGTAATTACAATGTGTCAATTGAAATGCATAAACAAAGTCAATTTTTTTAAAAAATAATATTTATTTAAATAAAGAGGAATCTAACATCATTTGGCTCCATTGGAGGAACGCCGTAGTTGTACGAATAGTACTCTAAATCATTTGATCCCTTCTCAAATTTGTTGATAGAAAGAGCCTGGTCCCATCCAGCGATTTGGAGGCCTGTAATAATATCAGCGTTGGCATCTTTATCAGCTCTGTTGATAAGATCCGAAACGATTCCCTTCAAATCGATGGTTGCTGCCATGTAAAAAGAGTATGCAGCCTTGTGGAAGGTAATTTTCATGAAGTTGTCAGAGAGGATTGTCCATGCCATGAGGTAGAATGAAAAGAACCCTTGAATTCCGCTGGATCCTGGAATAACATAAGAGTAGATTACATCTTTTTGAGGCATGAACATGTGCTTGACAAGTTCTGGTGTAAATTGGAGCGAGAATTTGTATGATGAGTCTGTTTTGTTGAGAAGTTCAGTAACTGCTGGAATATCTTCTTCTTTCATCGGACGACAGTTGTTGTGGACAAGGCTTGGTACTTCAAACCTCTTCTTTGCAGCTGCCATCTTGTCTTTGGAGATTGGATAGTATCCTGAAGCACTTAAATTCTTTAAATTGATCGGGCGATGGGCGTATGAACCTTTTGCGAATATTTTTGTAGGAATTCCTTTGCCAGAGAAAACTGCACGATAGATTTTCGCCTGTCTGACACGTCTTGCGAGTTCCCAAATTAAAACTTGGGCTAATTTCTTCGAACGAAGCTTATTATGGACGCAAAGGAAGTTAACTGTGCACCACTTCTCTGTTTCTTGATTTAAGCGGATTGTATTTGGAATGCCAGAAATAAAACCAACGAGAGTTCCTGTTTTTGTGCGGACACCGAAAACCCATTCTGGAATACCACCTGGAATGGCGATAGCCCACTTGAGTAATGGCGCTGGAAGGCAAAATCTGAAACTATGTTGATCGTTTTCGATATAATGCATTTCAAGGAAATGATAAAGCTCTTGAAGCTGCTTTTCATCATTAATGTCGATGTTAGACCATGTGAATCCTGCTGGAAGTGGAGATGGCTGATCCGGTGGTGCGGTAACTGGAATTTGTGGATCAATGTAACCTTCAGCAACGTCTTCAGCATCTTCTTTCACAACAGGTTGAACACTCCAGAACTTGTGAATTGCTTCTGCCTCCTCTGTATTCTGCTCCTCTACTTGTTTTGGTTCAGACATAAAAATAAAATGAAATTTCGGCTCTAGTACGATAAAAAAAAGCAGAGAAAAATAAATTTTGGTCAGATGTTTAGATTTTGATAAGAAGTTAATCTTTACTTTATTTCTTGAATAATAACAATAATTGCTAATAATTCCTTTCATATTTACAACTGGCATCAATCCAATTCGAGATCATTTGCATTTTGCAATTATAATTTAGCAACAAATTATCTTGTAAATAGGGCTTTCTAATCCTTCTCATTAAAGAGATATAAATCAATTTTTTTGAATCAACACATCAAATGTACGTTTAAAAATTATGAGAAAATCAATGATTTCAAGTGATTCTCATTCAGACAGCTCAGATGGATCAGAATTATCAAACACAAGAGCAAATATCCTCCAAGAACAGCAACAATTGAAAAAAGAGATTCTAGCAGCAAAGCAACAAGTCCAACGATATGAACATGACTTAGAAATTGCTCAGAATGCATATAATATTGGTGAAATAGCGTTTTTACAGAGAGCTAAGAAGCTGGCACAACTTTTTGGCGGAACAATAAAGTCAGATGAAGAACTAATCGAAAAAGTCCAAAATTTAATGAAAGAAGCTGATGAAAATGAGCAAAAAGCAAAAGAACTTAGAGTAGAACTTGAAGAATATCAGAATGCTAAACAGCAAAATGATACTCTTGTTCAAACACAGCAAAATGAATTACAAAAGCAAAAAGACTTGCTATCAAAGAAAAAAGCAGACCTTGCCAAAGCACAAGAGGTTTATGAAAACGCTACAAACGACTTAAACTTTATGCAACAAAAAACTACTGATTTAATAAATTCATTATCACCTGTTGCAGCTGCAATTGGCTGTACTGAAATCAATGATGAATTCTTCCGAATACTTGAGCAGCGACTATCTTCATATAATCCAGATTACGATAAGCCGCTCAAACGGATTGCAAAAGCTGCAAATGTTAGTTATAGAGGTCTAACTGGCTTTAATCCTGGACAATTCTTTGATAAGGTTGTTGATTCCTACAATGAACTTCAAAATACAGTGAATCAAGAATCAAATGCACAGAATGAAGTCAAAAGAAAGATGGAAAACATAGATTTGCAAATAAAACAAAAAGAAAACGAAACAGAAACATTAAAACGGGCAATCGCAAAGCTTGAAGATGAATTAAATAATAAAAAATCTGCTCTTGCTCAAAAAGATAGTGAACAAATTGCAGAAATGAAGAAGAAGGCCGAAATTGTTCGAGCTAAGGAACTTGAGCATGTAAAAAGAGTTCTAGAAAAAATTGGAGCACCAAGTTTAATCAAAGATAATACATCTCTTGATGATTCAATAGATATATTATGTTCAGTAATAATGAAGCTGGCACGTAAAGTTCAAGAAAGAAAGCAGTCAGCCCTTGCTCGAGATTCACACTCTCAAGAAAGGCTACAGCGAAATATACATGCTATTGAAGATACTGCTGACGTTATTATTAAATCTAATCGATTGTTACTCAAGAAATATAAATAAAATTGTTTGATATCTTATTTTCTATTGGAATTGTTTACATTTATGCTATTTTTTTAAAAAAGTGATGATATTGTATACAATATACTTTAAAAGTATATGATGTTATATTCCTAACGATAAGAAAAATAAATTGTTTGACTATTTTACAAACTGAATATTAATATCTTTTAGATTAGGCAAACATTTACCATAAAAGTAAACATGTTTAGGCTAAATAAAAAAAATAAATACAGAAATACCTATTTTTTATTCTTTATCAAACGTCATAATATTTATTCTATTAACAGAAAACATATATAATATAACTTTGGCATTCACTTGCAAAGTTCATTAAATTTATTTTGGATTTGTGAATTACGATTAATTTGATGAACAATTGCTGGATAAATGCTGAACAGATTATCTTTGAAGTTCGGTGGGCCGTCAATCTCAAACTGCTTGATAAGGTCCTTGTCACATAAACGAATTCCAACAGTTGCAAAATCATTATTTGAGACGAATTTAATTCCAGCGTTTTTAGGAATATTTGAAGCTAATATAAAATCTAAAACGCCTTGATCAGCAATAACTTCTTCTCCAGGTCTCCAATATCCAGATACTAATTTAACAAGGGGACCAAGAGCTTTGCCAGTACCACCGAAAACTCCTGAGCAAATTATATTTCCTTTATCCTTGAACCATTCATGATCAAGTCCAACAAATTGGGGGCCCCAGCGTTTAACGAAAAAGTTATTGTAATAAGGAGAGTTCTCATCACTTAATTGAACAACATCATCGTTCCAATTAAATGGATCTGATTGAAACATGACATCACTTGTATCGATGTAAATTAACCTGTCAAAATATGAGCCAAATTTATCAATAAATGAGGCAATTAACGGGAATCGAATATATTGCTTTATATACATTGAAGCATCAATTGTTGTGCTCGTTTGTATAACATATGCTCCACATTTCTTAATGCGGTCAGGAACTTCTGAATCTGTAAAGATGAGTATTTTGCCTTTAAAACCAGCTGTTCTTGCACTAATGGCAGATTCAAAACCCGATGATGCTCCAACTATAGAAATTAATATAATATCTCTTTCTGTTGAACGATTATTATAAATTAAATTTGGTTTAAAGTTGCACAAACGGCATTCAGAATAAGTTACTTTATCCTTTAGTGCTTTTTCAACTGCTTTCGTATCATAAGTAATCCAATCAGAAGAATAATCTGTCATTGGGTAATTTTTATATGAAAGATCAGTATATTTAAGTCTTAAATCAAGTATAGTCTGGTATTTAGGAAGAGTGAGTGCAGCAATGGCAAATAAAAATGGTATAATTTGAGAAATATCCCAAAATTTTTTAACCATAAATAAGGTGAAAATTGCAGTGACAGATACGTAAATGATGATCAAATACTTATGTATAGAAAATAAAAGCTCTGATGATTTCTTAACTTCGAAAATTGTATTCAGGTTGTTACTAAAGACTTCGATTTTTCACTTCTTTTTCTGATGTTTACAATAAAAATTGAGAGAAAGTGCAAAAAAATTTTGCAAAAATTTTTCAATGCAATAGAATTTTTTTTCACCATTGAATTTATGATATAACGACTTTTCCAGTAGTTAAGGGTTTCGTTTTGCGAAAAAAAACGTACAATACGCAATTTCGCTAAAAAAACATTTAGCTAGCAATTTCGACCTTTGACTCCACTCAAGACGTCACTTTTTTAATTTTGCGGTATCATATTTTTGGAAAATCTTTATGAATATTATATAAAAAGTCTCTTTAATATCTATATTTCATATTTTTATCGATTTTTAAAGTTTTTGCGAAAAGTATTCAATTATTTTTGCTATTTGGTCGGGTAAATGTCAGATTTGCGACATTTTCTGATATGATATTCAGATTCTACGTTGATAATAATGCTTATAGAACCCTCTTGCTATTGTGTCAAAATTGCGAAACCGATAGCAAAAATATCTCGCAATATCAAAATTGAGATATTGAGTGAATTATGCATTATAGAGATTAAAAATCTGATTTGTGAAAACATCTCATCAGTTTCTAGCTAATTCAAAAATCTTTACTATCTTATTCGATTAAAATGAAAAGGGAATAGTTTCATTATGCTTTAAATGACAGCCTTATAATATAATCATAGTTTTCGCTCAATATGCAGCATTTTTTTTTCGAAATCTATGGTCAATGTCCTAAATACTGATTGCTTTGCATTCATATCTCTTACATTTTCTATACCCACATCACTATTCATTGCTATTCCTATCTTTTTCATTTTTGTTTGTTTCTCATAATTTCTCAAAAAACACGATAACTTGATATTTGTAAATATCATACTTTATAACGTAAATAAGAACTTGACCTATTAAGAAAAGCAGTAATGAAAAGAAAATCTGAAATTCATAAAAATTACAAGTTTCTGATGACAATTAGCTTAATTAAACCAGGTACAAGATTATATAATTGTATTTTCTATCCAATTATCCATATAATATCTTATCCAGAAAAAATAACTTGAGTAGTATATGTGAACGGGTTTAGTGACTTTTTTTGTTACGTCTATATATAGACGAAGGTATATTTTCACATCTTCTATATATGATATAAAATTTTTTTTCTTACGTTTTTTAAGTCATGAATTCGTAAGAAAGTGTGACATTATTAAATAAATTAGTAATAAATATTTATTTATAAATCATTAAAAAATTAACATTAATTTTAAAATAATTTATTTTTTTATCTTTTATAAAAGAAGCTATATATAGATGATGTCAGATATTCCGCGATTAATTAAACATTGTTTAAATCCTGAATGGGTTAAACTTCAATTTAAAAACTGAAGATTGTGAATTATTAAATGAATATGAAAGCCAAAATAAGCTAATGAGGTATAAATATAATGATAAAGAATATTTAATTTCATGGAATCAATGGAGTCATAATCAAAGACCTCATAAACGGGAAGAAGAAATTGAAAATAATGAAATGGAAATCATTGATGACATTAAAGAGGATGGAATTCCTAAATTTTGTAGAAAAACCTTTAGAACTAAGTTAGGAGCATATAAACGTAGAGTATTAAATCCTGAAATACATAAAACATTTATTTAAAAAGGAAGACTGTGAATTATTAAACGTTAATGAATATGAAAATGCTAAATCAAAATTGAAATTAAATATATTGGAAGTGATGAAAGGTGTAAAGATAAAGATAAAGTTTATTCAGTTTCATATAATAACTGGCACACGTTAGGGGATAAGAAAACATTTAGGAGATTATGGTAAAAGTTCTGAATTCTTCAAATCTAGTATGTACGAGAGAGTAAAAGAAATTAGAAATAATTATTTTCATGAATGAAAAATAAACTTTAAAAATTCATGTCTTACATTTTTGAATAATTTATTTTTTTAATTTATGAAAATGAGTGGATCAAGATTCGTAACCGTCAATCAATTAATGGATGCTCTTTCACCAATTCTTGAAAATGTTAAACAAGTAGATGTTTATTTCGATGATTATGTAGAAAGTTTATATTATAAAGGTAAGTTTAATATTAAACTTATTGCTTTTGCATTTGATAATAAATTAATTGAAAATGCAAAAATTTGGGAATTAATTCCGAATATTGAATATATAACAAATATTAATGATAAATGGTTTAAACGAATTCCAACCACAAAAGTTCTTTGTAAATTAATGATCAAAACTGAGGAAAAAGAATTTAACGGGTTTAAATATCATCCAAATAAAGTTTCAGAACTAGAAAATGAAAAACTTCAGAAAAAATTAAACGATAGACTTTCAAATGATCGTATTGAAAAAATAAATAAACTAGCAGAAGTTGCATTTAATAATGAAATATTTGATGAATATAACCTTGAACTCAGTGATGGACTTTAAGTCCTGGGCACTTTGTGCCTTGAGCTTTAAGGACCCGGGCTCAACGAGTCATGATTTATGAAATCAATAATTTGATTTATTCGCTCTTCAATAATTTCTATTCTTTTTGTTAAATCATCTATTTTCATTAATGAGGTGATTCTTGATTGAGGAATAGATTTCAAACTAACCACTCCTTTTATTTTTGAAATTTTGAATCCATCAACTTTAAACATTTTATTCAATTTACATGTTGTCAATTCTTCAAATAATTTTTTATTATTAGCATAATAGTCATTAAATTCATCAACAGATGAAAAAATTTTTATTTCAGTAATTGGTTTAACAACGTTTATTTTTTGTTGAACATTTTCACTTTCATTTATTTCTTCCTCCTCTGTTTCATTTATTTTTAAAATTGGTTTCATTTATCATTAAATAAAAATTAGAATATAAGTGATGAAATATATTTTTTTAATTAATATTAAATCAGAAATGGCGGCAGGATTCTTTAAAAAATTATGGGATGGAATTAAGAAAGCTGCAGGTTGGGTTTATAAAAAGGTTATTAAACCTGTTGCAAACTTTTTGGCACCAGTAGCGAAAACGGCAGGAACTATCATAGGTGGAGTATTAGGTACTAAAGCAGGTAATCCGGCGATGGGAGCACAAGCAGGTAACGCAATTGGTGGAATTGCTGAAGGAATACTTAATAAAATAGGGGGTAAATAGTGGAAAAATAAATAAATATTATTTTTATCTTAGTATTGGTTGTAGTCTTTGATAAACTTTTTCTCCTTTATTTAAAATTTCTCTTATTGGGGCAGCTTTTGGTGTTATTGATTCAGCAACGTCACTAATTGCTTCTTTATTCTTAAATATCCAATTTGCTCCTTTCTTCATTGTTTCCCAAACTTTATGCGCTCCTCTTTTTACTTTATCCCACAGTTTCTTAAAGAATCCTGCAGCCATAGTTGATTATTTCATTAAAATTAAAAATTCATTTTCATATTTTAATTTTGATTTTTTATTTAATAATAAATGACGACTAACTATTTGGTGCCAAACACTAAACCAATTAATGGAAATGTGTTTCATTCATTCGAAAAGATAAATGAAATATTCGCAAAGAATGACGGAAGAAGATATTATAGAGAACTTGAAAGTTCATGCTATGACTCTGATGCTCCATATTTTGATGATAAACAAACTCATTTAAGAATTACAAATCCGGCTCATGATGTGAACCAATTAGGTGACACATATATTAAACGCAAAGTTAAAGCAACTCTAGTTTCAAATAAAGCTTTCACATGTGATGCCGCTTTTAAATGTATGCGTTTATTCGTTGGTTACAAATCATCAAATCAAAGCTTTAAACAATTAGAAGTAGAAACCGAAAGAGGTGATGCCGGTTATCTTCAGATGGATTGCGCCCGTGAATCTTTCGCATTTGCAACATATAAACCAAAATCAGAAAGGAAAGTTAAAAAGTTTGTTCATTCGTTATATAATAATGTTCAAAAATATGATAACTCAGTATGTGGTAAATATATTGACCCTTCAGAAGTTTTCAAGAAAGCAAATGAAGAAGTTGATATCACTTTTGATATGATTATTCCGGTAAATGATTTGTTAGCATTTCAGGCGTTCGATGATTATCCTAAATCATTTGGTGAAATCATTCTTAAATATTATGTTTTCAGGGATACTTTAGTATTTTGTCAGGTTGACCCGTTAAGAGTTGCTGATTTACAAAATTACGTTTATGAAAAGATAACTGATGAAAATTATGAAAAGATTATGAATCATGTTTATAAATATGATCGCAAATTCCAACAAATCGGACTTCCTGCCAAATTAATTACAAGCTTAGCCGCTACATCTGCTGACGCAACAGTTGATGACGTTATTATTTCATGCACAAAGATGGAAGTTTTAGAGGATAAATGCATTACACCAGGATACGGTTTAATTGAAGAATCAGTTAAAGCAATACCACGTTTATTCAGTAAGGAAGATCCATTCATGATTCCAGCTCAACATATTGACGTTCGTTCACTAAATGGAGGTTGCATCACTCCTGAAGGTATTAGCTCAGATTTCTCATACGCTCTTCATAATGTTACAGATGTTGTGTTAGCATTTCCGAAGAATGCAATGCAAAGAACGGTTTTAGAAAATCCAATGCTTCGAGGTCTTCAGGTCACTATAGATTCCAGAAACTTCCCCGATCAAGCGATGACCACAGTGGGCGACATATTCTTTACACGTATGCTTCAAGCTTCTGATTTAGATGGAGTGAATGAATGCACAGAAGAATACGAGGACTCATTAACTAGACCACTGAATGATGATAATGGCACGCCATTAGCTAGAACATGGAAAGACCAAACTTCATTCTTATGCACTATTCCAGTTCAACGTGATGGAGCGGGTATATTCTTTGATGGATTAGAAACTTTCAACTCACAAGTTACAGTACAAGTGAAAGCTTATCCAATCATTCAGGGTGAAAATGACACTTACTGTTCAAAAGTGACAAATCCTCCTCAGGTTTGGTTTACTAGGACTACATATTGGACATGGACACCGGATGAAGGTTTGAAATATCATCCAACAGGTACACCACCGCAGTATAGAAGTTCATATGATGAAATATTGATGAATAGAAATGTATAAAATTATAAATTTATTTTTGATTAAATGGATTTAAATTCTGAAGAATTAGCGGGAGTATATAATACATACGTAGATGATATGATTAATGAAGCATTGAGTGATAATAGAAATGCTCTATCTAAGGAAAAATTAATGAAAATTCCATATTCTGAATGTTACTTAAATTCAATCACTGCAGCAATTGGTAAACAAAATAAAGGTAAAACATTAACGATATTAAAACAAATTATCATTATTGCTAACACTTCCCCCCATTCACATGTGTTAATTTATATCAACCGTTCAGGTTCACCTTCAGATGATACATTTGAATCTTTAAAGCATTTAATCAAAATTCCAATTATTTATTTATCACAAGAAGAAGCAGAAGATTATTTAAAAAAACTTTTTAATGTATAAAGAATTATATAATACAATCAAGAAGCAAGGATTAGAGGATAAAATTATTGATAAACAACGGGATGAATTATTTGAAACACTTTCTATTTCAAATTTTGATAGAGAATTTTTGCATTCACTCATTTTTCTAGATGATGCGGTGAAATCAAAACTAATAACAAATGAGAAATCATATTTTAATCAGTTATTAACTCAATGTCGACACATTCAGTGTTCATTCTTCATGGCTGTTCAATACTTCAAAGCATTAAGCACAAACATTAAATCAAATCTATCAACACTTTTCATTTTCAGTGGTTTAGTCGTCAACAGTTGAACGTTATGCTTTATCAAGTGAATTTACCAATGAGCATTAATGAACTTTACACACAATATCAACAATTAGGTGAACATGGAAAAATAATAGTTGATTTAAATAAAGGATGTGTTAAATTTGATTAACTTTTTATAATTAATTTTTATTTTTTATTTATAATTAAACATGACAGAAATAGCAAATCTTCTACAGGTTCCATTAAAACAAGGGACAAACAAAAAGGGGGGTGTGTATAATAGAACTATGAAAGTTCCTGATGGAATGAAAGAATTAGTTCACATTGTTGCTGGTCTTCAAAAAGATGTAAAACAAATGAGAAACGTTTTAACATTACCAGAAGCTCAAGCATATGCCAAACGTCAAGGTCCAAATTGGGAAGCACATGAAGCAGACATTACAGGTCCAAATGGAAAACCTGATGGTATAAATGAAGTTTTCGTTACTGATGGTCAAGGTAATATTAAAGTCATAAATGGTATAAAATTAACTATATCTGATTATCCTAAACGTAAAGCATATAATGAATGTTATCCTATGCAATTTGATGAAAATGGAAAAGCTGTTAAACAATACATTGGAGAAGGTGAACATGGTCCAATTAATTCATACCGTCATAATCCATATTCTTATTTCAATGAAGAATTAAACGCTATTGAAGAGGGACCGGATGGATTACCACGATATGTTAATCAGTTTGATGGTCAATATGCAAATTTGAGACCTGAAATTCCAGCTAAGAAATTCTTTAAAGTTGCTTTATTCGATCCAGTGTTCAATGAACAGAAAGAAGCAATGAAAGCAGAATTTAAACCAATTCAAGTGGCAAGAATTTCTTCATCTTCACTTTCAGAAGCGTTCAAGGAATTGATAAAGAAACCACTTTATTCTCAACAAGGTTATAACTTTGATTTAATTAAAGAAAGTGATAGACGTAAATTAGAAAAATCAGATGGTTTTAAGAATGCATGTAATGAAATGATTAAAGATATTGTAAATGATAAAATAAGACTGGAAGAAACTCAAAGCAATATCAATAACATAATTGGTGCAGTTACAAAGAAAGTATAAGCAAACAATGATGAACCTTGGGATATTACCGTAACAACTAAATAAAACTTTAAATATATTTTTCTTTTTTTATTCAATTATAAATGAGAAGACGTTTCACAAGTCAAAAGAACACTAACGCAAAAGCAGAGATTACGGTTGGTTATAACGTAAATGATGATAAATCACGAATTATTCAAAATGTTAAAGTTAATGTTAGCCCTGAATTAACAAGGTCAGCAACTCAACCAAATTTATTAACTCGTGACTTACCGAAGAATGAGGAGAATGAAGAAAACCATGAGAATGGAGACCCAATCATTTTATCTGAACCCGGTAAAGAACCCGTTGAAATTCCCACATATCCAACATACCCCCCACCTCTTTCATCAAACATCGAGAACCCAGGAATCTACGATTACAGTCGCAATGCGCCATATAAAATAGACATTAATTCTGAATTAATGAAAATTTACCGTGATATAATAACTGATAATTATGATTCAATAAATTTAATTTAATTGATCAATCCGGTTTAATTATTTTACCTTATGAATCATTAATTCACATTATCGCCATTCTTTGTGAGTTCAAGATTCAGACGTTAAGATTCAATTTTTCATAGATGATGAGGTTTCATGCTGCGGAACAGTTGCAAAAATTAACCTATAAAGGATATTAGCACAATTAAGATATCAAAGAACGGAACAACAACTGAACTTCATTTAACATATAATGATATTTATAATAAAATAGTTGATGAATATAAAATATCACTTGAAAAAATTCTTTGTTAAGGCTATTTAATATTCAAGCATTAACATTATTGAATAATAATCCTTTGAATCATAATCAATAATAATTGACCTTTCACCAGTTTCTATCGTTTGTTTTATTTCTTTTTGTTCCCCACTATCCGGATCGGTCATTGTAATTGTTTTTGTATAGTATCAGCTTTATCTTTAACTTCAATCTTTTTTCCATCGGATATTTAAACCAAAAATTCCAAAAATTCGATATTGTCAATCTGTTCATATTTTAATCTATCAATTGCATTTTTAATACCATCTGAAAATCTTATGAAATGGTCATTATATGGGTTTGATTGAACTAAATTTGAATGAAGTGAAATATAACCCGATGATGAATATGACATTGACTCATATTTTCTGAAAACACTAAAATTTATAACATGAATGAATTTCTTATTCGTTGAATTTATGAATTCTTGAGGTAATCTTATTCTAGTTTTATTTATCACTGGAAAATAACGCTTTACCATATTTTTAATCGTAATAAAAATGTCAATTATCAATATTATTTCGAATAATAGTTGTGAATTAAATTTAACAGTTAGTGGAATTTATAATGTTACTCTCGTTTCTGTGAGTGGTAAATTTAATCCCATTCTTTAGACCCTTCAGATTATATATCATTTTTAAAGATGACCTTGAAAAAACGTATGATATGTATATAATAATGTGATAACGAAATGGGATATTAACACAATTTTAAGTTATTTAAATGAATCATTTATCGTTTGGTATGAAGAAAATTTTAAATCAAAAACCTGATAAACTTTTTGAACTTGATGAAATAAATAACCTTATTAAATTCCCGCTGAAAATTAAATTTTGTACTCCTCATCTTCGTTCAATGTTGGGGATATTAAATTTTGAAAAAGATGTTGGGGATGTTTTGTATCTGACACTGGTTCCAATTTCATTTTAATCAATGTGATAAAGTTAATACCCCAATGATTTTCACATCAAACATTAGACCCTAACTCTTACCCATCAATACAAAACATTTTATCCATCAACTTAAACATATTTTCTTTATCATATCCGTTTCAATTATCCGGAATTCATTTATTCTTCATTCAAAAGATTTATCAAATATTAAATTTAGAATAACTGACCTATTTGATTGTGATTTAGAATTTATGAATGAAATATTATGGCAATTTCAAATAGAAAAAATAGCTGATGAGATAACAGATTAAATATTTATTTTTAAATCATAATAAATGATTAAACAACAGCAACCACAGCAACTTAAGGCACAGACCATTACTTACGCCACATATGCATATAATTCAAAGACGGCAGAACAAACGCAAATGTTGAAATATGGAGATTTGGAGATAGTATTGAAAAATGACCATTTTGAATTCGTTTGCAAGGGTGGTGCAGTGATATCAAATATAAAAGAAATTTTATTTATGAATTCAAAAATTAAAGGAATAACGGATGATATAACATCAATTCCACCAGAAGAACAAAGATATTACGCATTAAATGCATTTCCTAAAGTTTTGAAGATTGGAAGATTTAATTTAAATGAGGAATTCATAAAAGGTTTCCTAAATGACATAATGAAGAAAGCAGATAAGGAATATGTGGATAGTGAGTTAATGAAGAAGGCAAATTTGGTTTATGTTGATGAAAAAGATAATGAAATTAAAGAAAAGGTTGAAAGGTATCATGAATGGACATTTGAGACTTTTAAAGTTAAAGCTGATGCAGAATGGGTTTCTGGATGTTTAGACCTTAAAGCAGATAAAACTTATGTTAACGATGAGTTAGAGAAGAAAGCAGATAAGGAAAAAGTTGATGAAAAAGATAATGAAATTAAAGAAAGGGTTGAAAGGTATCATGAATGGACATTTGAGACTTTTAAAGTTAAAGCTGATACAGAATGGGTTTCTGGATGTTTAGACCTTAAAGCTGATACAGGATGGGTTTCAGGATGTTTAGACCTTAAAGCTGATAAGGAATATGTCAACAGTGAGTTAGAGAAGAAGGCAGATAAGCATTGTGTGGATGAAATATACCAAAGTTTCGTTGGAACAAAAAATATTGAAACTATTGTTGGTGACTTTTCTATCTATGAAGAAAATAAATATTTTAGATGGCAATTGGTACACTCCTTAAAAAATGGTATACGGTGTAAACTCATTCCGAAAAATAACAATGAAATGTATGTAAGTTATAAAAAGAATGATGACACACAAGTTAAAGTTCCATTAGACAACAACTGCTACTTAAACTTATATGGAGACGAACAAAAGAAATATTTAAGAGTTTATGAAATGACGGATATGACATTGTCTAACGTAGCTCCAGCACCATATTATTATGACTATGGTGTTGACGCACGTGTAGACCCAAAAAAGCAAACATTATATTTAGATTATTATAGATATAAAAGATATAATGCAATAGAAAAAACGAGAATAGTATATTATTATATAGATGACAAAAATAAATATTATAGTCAAGATTTTACATACCCTGAAAACATAAGATTATATTATAAAATATTCCGACACAAACCAGAAGAAACCCGAAATAGTTACACTATATTTTAAGTTCAAAAGAGACAATCCTATATTATCTCATATGTTTGATTTAATGAACCCAGTAGGTTCTATTTATACATCTATGGATGCGAGAGGTCCTCAAGCAATGTTTGGTGTTGGTGCATGGGAACAAATAGTCGACAGGTTTTTGTATTGTGCAAACTCTTCAAAGGAAACAGGGGGAAGTAAAACGATTACAGGTGAAAATTTACCTGCACACAGTCACTACATAGATTTAAGTACATCTCAAGCGGGTTGGCATAAGCATAGATATTGGGATTGGTCAGGAATGACAAAAGGTAAAGGATATGATGTTAAAGACAACGTTAAGTTTGCCATAAATTGTTACTGGAGTAACACTGAGGGAGGAGGAAACCATACACATCGCGTTTCAGGATATACGCAAACAACGGGACAAAGTAAAGATTACATGCCGCCATTTATGACAGTTTACGCATGGTATAGAGTTCAATGAATGAACTAAATATATTTTATGTCTGTAATTAATTAGGTAATGAAGTAATGGATGAACTGCAGAAATATATTTTATCGTTAATGTTTACGTTAATGTTTATGTTAATGTTTATGTTAATGTTAATGTTTTCAGGTTATTCAAAAATAAGTCATAACTACCTTCCTCCTATGTTGTTGTCAAAATGTCATGTTGTCACAAACTTTAGAACGGACTGAAAGTCCTGAGCTCCAAAAGAGCAAACGGCATAATTTAAATTTTTATTTTTATCATAAATGAATACCCCACAAGCTCAAAATTTACCACGAATCATAACAAGGGAGGAAATGATAAAAATGATGCAAGAACATGTTAAAAATAACAAACCACTAAAATTGAGAAAATGTGGTTATGCAGTAATGATGGAAAGAGAGATGTTGTCGAAGAGGAATAAAAATTAAATTTGGATTGAGTTTAAAAATTCATCTTTATTAAATTCATCTCTTCCAATCAATTTATTTATTCTATTAAATTCTTTTATTTTTGCTTCACTCAGTTTAAGGATTGAACGGTAAGTTTCTAATTTTTCGATTATTTCTTTCCTCTCTTTATCGTTTTCAACCTCACCGCATTGTGGCTTCTTTTTGTAATAGCATATTTTTGATTTAATTCTGTTTAGTTTCTTTTTATATTCATTGTCTGGACTCTTGGATGCTTCGTTGTCACTCATTTCTTACGAAATAAAAAAATTAAATATTATTTAAATATAATGGAGTAATAAAATAAATCGGAATTTCTATTAATTTTTGTTAACCTCAACTAATGCATTGCCGTTAATATATCTAACAAATTCAGCTATTGTGTCAAATCTTCGTCTTCTTTTTGTCATTGATTTATCAGTTTTCCATAATCGAGATGAATTAAAACTTTATTTCCTTGTTTAAAATTCATGAGCCCCGAATTAATTTGTTCACGTTTAACATCATTTAACCTTTCCATTTGCTTTCTAATATATTCCCATTCTTTTGAAATATCATTTTTCATTTCCACTGGTTTCATGTTTATTGTTCTATGCCATGTATTATTGTAATAATATACTAACTGCTGTATGATGGAGTCATGTTTTCCATCCCAGTATATCTGACCGTTAACCCCTAACGCATCTCTAAGAGTTCTCATTACCGCATCAACTATTTTATTATGAAACGTATATGGAGAGGATGAAAAGTAAAAATTAATTTGTGGGAAATAATGAGCCATAGCTGCCTGAAATCCTTTATCACCATCACCCCTTATATTATCTACTCTTTCATGATCTAGTAAGTATTGAATAGCTCTTCTTGTTTCCTGTTCTGTTTTCCCTTTCACTGGAATGCAATATAAATATCTGGTGTTAATGTTAATGGTAAATAAATAAGTAACGTTTCCTTTTGAATATTCTAAATGATCGATTTCATATGAATATGGATATGGTGCAAATGAAGGGCGACTAAATTTTTCCTTTAACGGTTGAATTTTTGGGTCAATTGGTTTATTTAATATCTTGAAATCCTTTTTAAAATCTTTTTGTTTCTTTAATGTTTGAAATGGATATAATAAAGTGAATGATGAAGGATTAACTGAAGGAGGAGGCGGTTTTGGTGTTGCAGGTACTGTCGTTAGAGGTTTTGGTGTTGCAAGTGGTTTAATTTTATCTGCTTTGATTTTGGATGATGAAGTTTTGGAATTCCTTCCTTCCTTCATTAATTCTGGATGTATTCTATTCATTTGTTTTAAATATGCTGTATATAAAGGTTTAATATACTTTCCCGCTTCGAGTTTATGTTGAAGGATGAATTCCAAAAGTTGATCTTCATTTAAAAGTCGGGCTGAATATGGTTTAACTAATGAATCATAAATTAAAGCTTGTGCATCATTTATGGTCTGAAGGACCTGGGCGTTTTGCACCTTTTGTTTTTGCTTCTTTTGCTTTTGCGGCTCAGGATTATATAATTTATATAATTCATCAATATCTTCTTCTGTTAATACTTTATTTTTAAAATCTTTCAACTGTTTCAGTTGTGATTTAGTTTTTCCCTTTGAATATTCATTATTTTTAATTTTGTCTTTAATTTCAGAAATTATTCTATCATGATATTTCAAAATTTCATTTTCATAATATGGATAATAATATCCCATATCATCACTCGTTATATTTTTATTATATTTTTGGAGATATGATTTTAATTCATAATAACTAAGAATTTTTTGATTAAGTACTAAATCATCAATTAAATTTTCTAAATCTGCGTTATCCATTTATATAAAAATAAAATAAATGTTTTAAGGGTGCCCACCTCTTTGAATCATAGTATCAAAAACATCATTAACGGTTCCTTTTGTCTCTTCTGTGGCATTTCATTAAATAAATGGCATACAACATCCATTTTCACAACATACAGCCTTAGTGTGTGCTCCTGTTAATGCAGTCTTACCAATTGTTAAGCGAGTCATTGACCCGTTTTTAAGTTGTAAATTAATATTCTGACCATCAAATATCACTTTATCATTTATTATATCCAAATAATTTTTAGGTGTTAATTGTTTATTTTGTCGTAAACTAACTCCTTTCATTTTTTGTGCAATCTTTTTAAAATCACTTCCATCAATTGAACCGTTGAATGATGTATAACACTTGGGGCATAAAGCAACCATGTTATCACCTTGTTTCTCAATTGCTAAACCCAATAACTTCTTCTCATGTGCTTTTTCTTCAGCTTTATTCTTTAATTTAGGTTTAAATTTCTCATTAAAACAAAAGAAATCAAAAGTGCGAATTTGTAAATGTTTTTATCATAAAATTGTTTTCAGTAACAATTGCTTGAAATGCTTGAGTGTTAGGAAGATTTGGGTCGCCAGCGATTGCCCAATAAGATGAATCAGTATCACCTTCAATGAAATGAAAACGATTAACATTCATGCATTATACATAAAATCATAAATGAAAACCAAATACCAGTATTTTGCGTTATCTAAAGTGAAGAATGCCTCTTGTAAACTGTATCACATCTAAAATCTATCTTTAAGCATCACTTGATACGTATCTTCACCTATTTCTCTTATGTTTTTAACTTATTTGACATACATGCAACGCGTGCCTTCTGTGCATTCATTATTTTAGTCTTTGCGTAATTTTGTGTATTCATTGCATCGTACCATATGATCCATTAAGTGAAATCTTGCAAAATAAACTTTTTCCTTTATTTCTTCTTAATTCAGCCTTTTGTCTTTCGTTCATATTCGTTCGCAAATTCATTAAAGCAAGTGTTTTTCGTAAATGTTAAAATTGATTGAATATCATCAATGATAAATATGAAATCTGTCTATTAGATACCAAAGATAATAAGAAGAAAATGGTTGATATTGGTTGTGTGTTGATGCTAACTGAGTTAATTTTCTCTGTTTCTGGTCAACTGGTAGATTGTTTGATTTCATGTAATTATACATAAAACTGCCATTGTTTTTTCATCTGTGATAATATCTAAGTTTCTTATTATTGGTAAAAAGTTTATGTATCATTAATGTATTTTTCATCAATGTGACCCTTTACTTCAGCCACGAATAAAGTATTTTCTTCTTAATTATTCCAGTGCTTTTGCTTTCTTTGTTGCTGTATCACAAATGATACACCATTCAATCTTCCCGGCATATATTTTATGGTTAGTATATTGAATGAAATCATGAGGATTAGATGAAAATGATGAAGGATATAATGAATTAAAATCAACACCAACAAAATGAGTCATAATGTTGGTGGTGTCTCATTTGATACAGTTTTAGTTTCTGGATTATATGAAAGTTATTAATGTGTGTGATTCCTTTAAGATTTACTCTATGTTGAACATTTGATAGACCACCAGTAATTCCATTACGGAGAATGTGATAAGCTTCAACTGAATCTAAAGTCATTGGTAAATTATTTTTTAATGCATAATTTCTTAAATTGATTCTTAAACGTTGAACATCTTCATTCTTTATTTGATTTTACGCATTGCAATAACAACACATTAACTGACAATTTTCTTTGGTATGTGGTTTTTTCATTATCGATTCTATCCAATGTTGGTTTATTAGCATATGTAAACGCTTTACCACACATTTTGCATTTAGATGAAGGATTAAATCGTGATAGTATTGATAGTCATTCATTGAAACATTGTTTTTAGTATCCCTTTCTGCTTTTTCATCTTGTTTCTTATATGATTCAATTTTATATTTCAATACTTTTTCGTTAATTCAAAACTTGATTCCACATTTTCTTCTTCTGGATATTTTTCATTAGGATTAAAGTCTTTATATGCTAAAGCGTAACGAATCATTGAAGCATTCGATGATAAAGAAAGATTATGAAGCATATCAATTTTATAAACAAATGTTTCTTCAATAATTTTATCAATTGGGTTAATCATAATTTCAACGTCTTTATTGCAATAATGAATAAAATATTCTAATCTATTCTTAAAATTTTTAGCATCATTGAGATATATTTGATAATCACTATCTGATATAGTTTCTTGAGTTAATGCTGAATAAAATGAATCTTTCGTGAATGGTTCCTTTTTATATAATTCATCTTCGTAATTTTCCCACGTGATGAATTGATAAGGGAAAAAGGATTTAACACGTGATTTATTGTTTCCGAAATCTTGAGTGAATTGGTCTAATGTCCCACCCGCTATATAATTTCTGATGTCAATAAATCTCAATTCATATGGACAGTTTGTTTTCTTTACTATGATTTGCTTAAATTGTGAAGATGAACCCAGCATTGATTTTATTTTCCATTTTGCAGTGTTTAAATCACGAAGAATTAAATTTAAATCAAACTTTCCCGAATTAAAACCTATGATATTCACTTTATTAAATTCTTCATCTAAAAGCTCTTTCATTGCTTCCTTTTGTTTCTCATTTAATGATGAGACAAAGTCCCCGCCGTTTGGTCCGTTTGCGGCTTCATTAATTCTTCATATTGTTCAATATTTGATTTAGCAACTAATGAACAGGTTGAAAATAAAAACTCAATCCAATCAGAAATAAAAGAATCACTCGAAGTTAAGCAAAAATTCCTCGTAAATGTTTTATCACGGTCTACGACCTCGCCGCTTTGCGGCTTTATTTTGACAGTTGATGATACCATAAATGGTTTTAAGTAAGCGTTCAAAGTTGCACATTCAGAAAGTTGAAGTTCTTCTTTAGTCTCTAATGTTTCGAAGTCAAAGTATAATATATCTTGTTGGTTTATAATATTCCTGCAAATTGTGAGCTAATAGCCATTGATATATCTTCTGTTTCGTGATATGTGGTGCATATGGTTGTTGTGTGTTTTGCAATTGAACGTCTTGAATTAATCTTCCATTATTTTCTTACATTTTCTCACAATGTTTTAAAAATCTTCTTTGGTTTTTCCTTTCTGGATCATCACGGATAGAATAAACTTCTTCTTTGCAAAAGGGGCAAACTCTATAGCCGGTGAGTGCTTCAACGTCTGTTATTCTGTCAGCGTGAAGTTTTCCACATGGACTCTGTGTTAATAAAATATTTACTGTTTCAAATTCTGGATCTATCATTATTGATTCCACTAATGGAAAGTCTACCTTGTTAATGTCTACGTCTTCTGGTTGAGGGTCACAATAATAAAAATCAATATTAACGTTTAACATTCTTGCTAACCTCTCACTTTCTGATGAAATGTCAAACCCTTCATATGCATCTATTGCTTCATTTAAATAGCTTCTACGAGTTTTAGGATTAACACCATCAGGAATGTTATAGAAGCGTTTAAATAACCTTCTACCTTCTGCTCTTATTTGATTATCATTCATTTTAGCTGTTCCATTTTTGTTCATTTATGTAAGAATAAAAATTAAAAAAATAAATAAAAATAAAGTTTATTTTTTTAAAGTCCATAAAATGAATTAAGAACACATAAATTTTTATCATCCGCGACGTGACGAATACATTTTAATTTACTCAAGAATGCGTACCCTGATACATTAAATCTAATTCCTGTCTTATTTAATTTCACAACTTTGAAAAGGAATGTATGAATAGCTATAAAATGATGAGATGATGTTTTATGGGTTGCTTCCATTTTTTCTGAAATAAATGAATAAATATAATGCTTATACGTTTTCATATCTTTTATGTTCTTAACGAATGGTATAGACCTTTCCACTTCGTCTTCCTTCGGTGCTGTTCTTTCATATGAAACATTATTGGTATCTTCAATAATGAAACCACAATTGCATAAAATTTTATATGTACCAATTGTTTCTTTTGATATTTTATCTAACAAATCAAAAACTTTATCACACCTGTGCATTTATTTAAATAATAATTTGTGTAAATATCATGGTCTTCTTTCTTAATCGTATTTGTTGCATATGTTACATTTTTCAGTGCTTTTTTGAATTTTCAGAATCAAGAGGAGGTGAAAGTAATATACATGGATAATCTCCATCGTCAATAAATTGTAACTTATGTTTATGAATAAATTTAGTACCTTCTTCTGAAAGTGTTTCGTCTATTTCACCATCTAATAAATTTTGTGTTGATTCTGAGACATAATTTTTATATCTTTCTTCATGAGATTTTTGAACTGCTGATTCTGAAGCTGGGATATTCATTAAACCCTCTACTTCATTTTCATTATATTTTTCAACTTCTCTTAATTCCTTAATTTTTTCATCTATTTCATCTCTTATTTTTTCCAGTCTTTCAATTTCATCATATTCATCATCTTTAATCCGTTCTTCATAATATTCAGGGAAAACATCAGGTTCTTTAGGTTTTTCTTCTTCAGATGTGGGATATAAGAAATTTATAACATCATCTTTATTCATTTTTCTATCATAATCAAACTCATTTAAAAACTCCGCGAATTTTTGACAATTTCTTAAATAATATTTACTAACCTCATAACCCGCTTCCTCTAATATATCCTTTATTTCCTCATTTGTGAATTCCATTTTTTTAACATTGTTAGTTGTGACGCTCATTTATCATTAAATAAAAAAATAAATTATTCAAAAAATGTAAGACATGAATTTTTAAAGTTTATTTTTCATTCATGAAAATAATTATTTCTAATTTCTTTTACTCTCTCGTACATACTAGATTTGAAGAATTCAGAACTTTTACCATAATCTCCTAAATGTTTTCTTATCCCTAACGTGTGCCAGTTATTATATGAAACTGAATAAACTTTATCTTTATCTTTACACCTTTCATCACTTCCAATATATTTATATTTCAATTTTGATTTAGCATTTTCATATTCATTAACGTTTAATAATTCACAGTCTTCCTTTTTAAATAAATGTTTTATGTATTCAGGATTTAATACTCTACGTTTATATGCTCCTAACTTAGTTCTAAAGGTTTTTCTACAAAATTTAGGAATTCCATCCTCTTTAATGTCATCAATGATTTCCATTTCATTATTTTCAATTTCTTCTTCCCGTTTATGAGGTCTTTGATTATGACTCCATTGATTCCATGAAATTAAATATTCTTTATCATTATATTTATACCTCATTAGCTTATTTTGGCTTTCATATTCATTTAATAATTCACAATCTTCATTTTTAAATTGAAGTTTAACCCATTCAGGATTTAAACAATGTTTAATTAATCGCGGAATATCTGACATCATCTATATATAGCTTCTTTTATAAAAGATAAAAAAATAAATTATTTTAAAATTAATGTTAATTTTTTAATGATTTATAAATAAATATTTATTACTAATTTATTTAATAATGTCACACTTTCTTACGAATTCATGACTTAAAAAACGTAAGAAAAAAAATTTTATATCATATATAGAAGATGTGAAAATATACCTTCGTCTATATATAGACGTAACAAAAAAAGTCACTAAACCCGTTCACATATACTACTAACTTGATCAATACCAAATGATTTTTAACTAGTAAATAAAGTATTTTCTTTACACACACATTGTATATCATAGTTTTTTTTTGGTTTCGCAAAACATCCAAAAACAAATATGCTATAAAAGTGACAATTTTAGCAAAACGAAACCCTTACAGGAGTTCACACAATATTGAAGTTAAAGTCATTTCAGCATTTTTAAAAAAATTTAAAAATTGAGGTTTCACTTCAATTTTTAAAAAAGGTGGAAAAAATTTTGTTTTGAAGTGTCGCTTTTAAAATTTTGTTTTGAAGTGTCCTACCAGATACAGTGAATTGAATAGTATCTACAGGTACCACATCGATTTATATGATGCTTTGTATCAGTTAAAAACGGAAAACGATGAAGAATTACACTCGATTTACAAAAAGATTAAATCAGATTTGATTGATTCAAAGAAATATATTCCGAAAAATATTATGAAAGACATTTTGGATATTATCCCGTATAATAACCGCTATTTAAAGTCATACTTGACTCTTGCAAAATTCATATTTGATGATTATAATGTAAAAGAGGTCAAATATATTCCACTTGTTTCTAAATACATGTTTTATAAACAATATGGAATTAAATTAGACACATCTGATGATTTCGAAAAAAATAAATCCGAAAATCTCGATATTCATTCAGAAAATACAATTTACAGAGCAATTATAAATAATGACTTAGAAACATTCATTGCATTCACAGAGAGAGATGGATTTGATGAGAGTCAAAAACTTTTAAGTAATTTATATCCAGATTCTAAAGACGGAAATGATAAAAATCAAAGAGTTCATGACTATTCGCATCTTTCTCAAACACCATATTCATTACTTGAATTATGTTGTTACCATGGGGCTAGGGATGCGACGGTTTTACGCCATGACCGTTTAAAAATAGAATAATACGCCATTTTTGGGGCCGAATGGCGGGTACGAAGTACCCGCCATTCGGCCGAATAACAAAACAATACAAAATTATCGCCGTCCTTTTTTTTCTTTCTTTCTTTCTTTCTCTTTTTTTTCCTCTCTCTCTCTTTCTTTTCTCTTTCCTCTTTTTACTCCTCTTTCTCTTTTCATCATTAAACGTAGAAAGATATATTAATATTATTTTAAAATTAAAAAAAAATAAAGAAAGTATAATAAGTAATTATTTAGTTATCGATATATATATGTAAAGTGATAATCTGAGGATAATCTGAGGAAGAGTCTGAGGATTAGACCGAGGAGTAGTTTGAGGAGTTTGAGGAAAATCTGAGGAGTTTGAGGATAATCTGAGGAGTTGTCTGAGGAGTAGTTTCAGGAGTTGTCTGAGGATAATTTGAGGAGTTTGAGGAGTAGTCTGAGGAGTTTGAGGAGTAGTCTGAGGAGTTTGAGGAGTAGTCTGAGGAGTTTGAGGATAATTTGAGGAGTTTGAGGAGTAGTCTGAGGAGTTTGAGGAGTAGTCTGAGGAGTTTGAGGATAATTTGAGGAGTTTGAGGAGTAGTCTGAGGAGGTTGAGGAGTAGTCTGAGGAGTAGTTTGAGGAGTAGTCTGAGGAGTTTGAGGATAATCTGAGGAGGAGTCTGAGGATAATCTGAGGAGGAGTCTGAGGATAATCTGAGGAGGAGTTTGAGGATAATCTGAGGAGGAGTCTGAGGATTAGACCGAGGAGTAGTCTGAGGAGTTTGAGGATAATCTGAGGAGGAGTCTGAGGATTAGACTGAGGAGTAGTTTGAGGATAATCTGAGGAGGAGTCTGCGGATAATCTGAGGAGTAGTTTCAGGAGTAGTCTGAGAACTAGTCTCAGGACTAGTCTGATGAGGAGGACTCTAAGGAGTAGTCTGAAGAGTAGTCTCAGGAGGAAGATCTGAGGAGGAGTCTTATGAGGAAGATCTGAGGAGTAGTCTGATGAGGAGGGGTCTAAGGAGTAGTCTGAGGATGATGAGTAATCTGATAAGGAGTAGTCTGAGGATGATCCGAGGATAACCTGATGACTAGTCTAGGAGTGGTCTAATAAAAATGTAAAATATTTTCAAAGAAAAAATTCTATGAATTTTATATTTTAATTCTTAGCATTATACTGAATAAAATAAACATAAATATCAAAATTTGAAATTGAACACGCCACAAAATTGATAATCCACATTCAATATTTTGTAAGTGGCGTACTTTTTGAATACTCGCCATACGCCTTGGAGTTCTCAATTTTGAATTCGCCTTTATTTGGGCGACCTCAGAAAAATACGCCATTAAGAAAATATTGTATGAGATTTTAAATTTGAACACGCTCTACCTTAAGGAATTAAATTTATTAAGATATATTTATATATAATAAACGATTACTTAAAAAAAGTATTTCATCGCTTATGTAAGTTTCAAAAAAAATCACGAAAATAAAAAAATCAAGATTAAAATTTTATTTTTAATTTTTGAATTTCTCAAATGGCGAAATTTTTGGGCGAACAAAAAAAATGTACGCCCGGTCAAATGGCGTGTTTAACGCATCCCTACATGGGGCGGTTGATTGTTTCAAATTTTTAAGAACAAAATTCAACTCAAAAATAACTGAAAATTGTCTCTGCTTCTCATTTTTAGGAAGAAATCAAGAGATTATGAGTGAATGTTTGAAATATCAAAAGCCAAATGAAAAATGCATGAGATTTGCAATTATTTCACATAACATTGATTTTGTCACATTCTTGATGAATGAGTACAATATACAGATTGATTTGTTTCAATGCGGATTCAATAATAATCTTGATTCTTTTATTGTTTATTTCGATCAAACTAAAGATCTCAGAAGAAGTTTCGTTTATTCATCAATGTTTAATATTCCATCTCTTTGCGATTATTTCCTTTCACATGGTGCTAAAATCAATGCAACAGATGAAGATAAGGAAACAGTTCTTTTTAAGGCAGCAAATAATAATAATAAGGAAATTGCCGAGTTTCTTATTTCACACGGTGTATATATCAACCATAAAAGTTTATATTACAGAACAGTACTTCTAATTGCAGTGGATAATAATAATAAAGAATTAATTGAACTTTTAATTAAACATGGTGCAGATATTGATGAAAAATTGCAACATGATGAAACAGTTCTTTATTTTGCAATAAATAGCAATAGAATTGAAGCAGCAGAAATCCTTCTTTCACATGGTGCAAACATCAATGAAAAAAATAAATATGGAGAAACTGTTCTTCATAAAGCAATAAAAAATAATAATAAAGAAATGGCCGAATATCTTCTTTCACATGGTGCAAACGTCAATGAAAAAAATAAATATGGAGAAACTGTTCTTCATAAAGCAATAAAAATGATAATAAAGAAATGGCCGAATATCTTCTTTCACATGGTGCAAACGTCAATGAAAAAAATAAATATGGAGAAACTGTTCTTCATAAAGCAATAAAAATGATAATAAAGAAATGGCCGAATATCTTCTTTCACATGGTGCAAATATCAATGAAAAAGATAACTTATCGGAAACTGCGCTTCATAGCGCAGCAGGAAAAAGTAATAAAGATATGATCGAATTTCTCCTTTCACATGGTGCAAATATCCTTGAAAAAATATTTTTAATGATACTGTTCTTCATAAAGCAATAAAAATGATAATAAAGAAATGGCCGAATATCTTCTTTCACATGGTGCAAACGTCAATGAAAAAAATAAATATGGAGAAACTGTTCTTCATAAAGCAATAAAAAATAATAATAAAGAAATGGCCGAATTTCTTCTTTCACATGGTGCAAATATCAATGAAAAAGATAACTTATCAGAAACTGCGCTTCATAGCGCAGCAGGAAAAAGTAATAAAGATATGATCGAATTTCTCCTTTCACATGGTGCAAATATCCTTGAAAAAATATTTTTAATGATACTGTTCTTCATAAAGCAATCGAAAATGATCGTGATAAAGGTATAATTGAACTTTTTCTTTCAAATGGAGTAAATATCAATGATAAAAATAATCATGGAGACACTGCGCTTCTTATTGCAGCAAGAAATCATAGAAAAGGAACTATTGAACTTCTTCTTTCTCATTGTGCAAATATCAATGAAAAAAATGAAGAGAGGAAAACCGCTCTTCATTATGCAGTAGAAGACCAATGTGAAGAAGCACTAAAACTTCTTATTTTGCATGGCGCAAATATCAATGAAAAAGATTACCAGGGAAAAACTGCTCTTCATTATGCATCACGATACCAAAGTAAAGGAACAGTCGAACTTATTATTTCGCATGATGCAAATATTAATGAAAAAGATATAAATGGACACACTGCTCTTCATTATGCTACATATTATAACACTAAAGAAATAATTGAATTCCTTATTTCACATGGTGCAAATATCAATGAAAAAGACAAAAATGATGACACGGCTCTTCTAATTGCATTAAAACATAGTAATAAAGAAATAGTTGAACTTCTTCTATCACATGGTGCCATTTTAAATGGAAAAAATGAAAATGGAAGCAACGCACTTCTTATTGCAGTAAAAAATCATAATAAAGAAATAATTGAATTCCTTATTTCACATGGTGCAAATATCAATGAAAAAGACAAAAATGATGACACGGCTCTTCTAATTGCATTAAAACATAGTAATAAAGAAATAGTTGAACTTCTTCTATCACATGGTGCCATTTTAAATGGAAAAAATGAAAATGGAGATACAGTTCTTCACAGAGCAGCATATAAAAATAGTGATGAAATATGCGAACTTCTTCTTTCATATGGTGCAAATATTAATGACAAAAATAAATATGGCAACACTGCCCTTCATATAGCAGCAATTAATAATAGTATAACAACAATTGAACTACTTCTTTCACATAACACAAATATTAATGAAAAAAATCAATATGGAAATACTGCTCTTGATTATGCAAAATTGCATTATTCTGTAATAATTGCCGAACTTCTTCTTTCACATGGTGCAGTGAAATAAGAAATTTTTCTAAGAAATAAAAATTATCAATATTTTAAGCTATCCAAATATTTTTGATAATTGATATCATTGAATTGGAATTTGTATCAATGTTCAGGCGATTGAGAATGTAATTAAATAGATTTTTGAAATGGGTTTTCCTACAAGTGCAAAAAATGCACAAAAACGATTATTTTACATTCAAATTGCGCATTATTTGTGCGTTTAAAAATCTATCCACGTAAAGTAGTCAAAAGATGCATTTTTTCTTTAAGGGTGCACCCGTATGTACGTTTATTTGAGAGGAGGAGGATTACCCTCTCAATTTTGAGGGATTCGTTAGTTTATTTTCTCGATGAATATGCAATATGAAGTAATATAGAAGCTGTGTATGAAAGGGAAGCAAGTACTTAATGAATGAATGTGTTTGGACCAATGTTCATTTTTTCGCTTTTTTTTGTGTTTCGAAGTACCCAAAGTACAAGGATTTTTTTTCGAAAAAAAGGAGGATTAAAAAACCGTAATCCTCCTTGTGCACCCTTAAAAGTTTATAATTTTGTTCGGGAAAAATCATTTTAAATCACTACATAGTGCCTTATATTAATGCTCGCATAAATCAAAAAAAAATACAAATTTTACTTAAAACATAGTTGTATTTTCAATGAATAATTTCGTTTGAGTAAAGATCTCCTCGAAGATCTTACCTATGTCTTGTGCAGACAAATTCTCCAGTGGATCAGTTCTAGAATTTGCATATGTTGTATCACTTTCGATATCAATGATTTTATAAAAATTCTTGTTCAAATTTTCCAATCTTTTCTTTGGACAGTAGCCCTTAAACGTTATATTGATGCAATTTGTACTTGGATTATTATGTTTTAATTTCCTGTAGAGTTTTTCCATTGGATAGAATGCAGAATATCCAAATGGACATAATATCCAGAATGGATTTTGTTCGGCCAATTTCTTAATGTATTCTTTCAATTGAACTATCTGATTCAATGTTTCGTTAGGTCCAATGAAATAATCAATTGAGTATCTCTCATCATCAGTTCGGAACTTCGATATACCTTCAGCAAATTGTTTTGCAGCAAATTCATTATCAGGCTTGGAATGGAAATGAGGATGATGAGCTCCACTATCTGTGATGAAGAAGATGATTTGTGCAGCTTCTTTTCTGAAATCTAGCTTGAAGTACGCCTTGAATGCTGAGTTCCAATCTTCTGGACCATCTCCCATTCCTCCTTGGCATGGGATAGACTCTATTGCACTGACCAATTCATCGGCTCTATCAATAGATTGGAAATTAATGTATTCGGTATCATTCTTGTCAATACTCTTATTCAATTTCTTTGCGTAAATCAAATCTCTGAATGCAATTACCGCAATTTTGACATCGGCATTTGTTTCTTTGAACCAATCGATGGCGTTTTTGATCTGGAACTTAATCAAATCCCTGATTTTCTCTGTGGATTTAGTTGAATCATATATGAAAACCAAATCAATTGGTTTGAATTTTTTCATTGGAGCAGGTATCTCTTCAGGAATTGGAGGTAATTCATTAATAGAAATAGGTGGCATATTCTCATAGTGACCAGTCTCTGCGATAGTTCTCCATTTGTTGACAAGGCAAACAGCCATGTTTCTAACCAATCTCTTGACACCTTCCAAATTGAGTTCTTTGAAGAGACGAGAAGCAGCGCCATCAATGATTATGTCACCTTCTTTGAGATATTTGGGAGAGACATAATAGCAGCCAGAAACTAATCCTTTACCCGAACTGAGTGAGAAAGGTCTAAATGGTTTGATATGCTCACAGATTTCATTATATTTCAAGCCATCAGGGATTTTAGCTCCTGCAATTGTTGTTCCTTCTTGCAACTTAAGAACATTGTATCCGTAAAGATAATAATCATAATTTGCAATTTTCTTAGAATCATCTGAATCAAATGACTTCTTTCCGAAAGTTGCTGGAGTTTTTCTGTCAAGAACTTGTCCTCTGACTGGATCTTCGCCATTGAACCTAAGTTTAATTGGCATTTTTTATGATTTTGAATCACATTCATCACAATCATACAATTTGACATGTTTCAAATAATAATCCGATTCAAAGGTGAATCCCTGATCAGCCCAAAATGAAATACTACCACCTTTCTGCCTGAACATTTCAACTGTCTCAACAAACTGGTAAGCGTGTGAGAAATCACTTGTATCTCCTCTGATTTGATCAGATTTATTCTTAATGTTTGGAAGAACTTCAGCATCTGATGGTTTTGCCTCTTTGCCATTTGAGCAAATAACCCAAACTTGGTGGTTTGTTCCTGATAATATTTCGGCAATACAATTGCAATAATTCTGAGAAACTGTGACTGTAAAGCCAAGGTCTCTCAAACGGCAAATAATTCCATTTTCATCATTCAAAGTTTGGAATGTGACATCTTTGTCTGTTTCCGGAGTATCTTTATTTCCTTGATTTTGAATACCTTGATTTCCTTGATTTTGAATACCTTGATTTCCTTGATTTTGAATACCTTGATTTCCTTGATTTTGAATACCTTGATTTTGAATACCTTGAGGAGGTAGTTGTTGCGATGATAATGGTCGAGATGGTGGATTTGGTTCTTGTTTATTTTGTTCTCCTTCTTGGTTTACTGTTGCATCGTAGAGTTGGCAAATGAGAATCTTATATGGCCATTTTGCATTCTTGCCGAGATCTTCATCTGGGAGATTACTTTTAGGCTCTTGACCTTGACCTGATTTTGTTGAAGGAACATCAATATTTGTTGTTTTTTCGTTAATGTAGTAGCCACGAGCTGCATCAAATATCTGGATCTTTTCCAATTTATTAGTGAGGTCTGTGTAAAATCTGTTATCTTTGTTACTTAATTGACCATTGAGTTCTTCAATCGAGATTTTCTCTGGTAAAACTGGGGAAGTTATTTCTCCTTCTGTAATTCCTTCACTTGTATCTAAATGTGATAATTTGCTGAAGCACTCTCCAATTTTCAGAGGATTATCTGACCAAACAGATTTACTGAAAACTTTCGAGATATTCTTCGGACAAATTCCTACTCCAACACCAATTGTAGATGTCTTTAATGACTGCACTGTGGAGATGCATGTTCCAACTGCACCCATCTCAGTCTGATAGAAATGGGCACTTGTGATTGCAATAAGAACAGATTCTTGTTCTTGTTGTCTGCACCTGATGTTGTATGCAGCTGTCAATGCCTGAGAGAATCCAAATACTGTTTGAGATTGTATATTTGCTGCTGTTAACCATCTATATATTTCTGTGAAAACTGGGGAGTTATCAATGAAAATGTCTTCTTTCTTCTTGTTGATACAAACTGCAACTGGACCGGTGGAAGTTGCCAAAATTACTGTGATTGGACAGTTGCATTCTTTGAATGCAATTAATGTGCTGAAGACAGTTAATACTGTAGTATTCATTGAGAGCATTCCAGATGATGATTCTGTACAATCAATGACGAAAAACAAGGAATAACTTGGTACATAACCTGCCTTTTTTTCGAGTCTAAATCTCTGGTCTTGGCCATCTGTGATTATGAATCTGATTAATCCTGGCATTGATATTCCGTTGCCTTTCTCTGATGCGATATACTGCATTGCTTTGTTCGGAGAGAACATTTCTTCAGTATTGAAGTTGTCCGAAATATTTCTTTCGAAATCTTCCAAATCAAATTCCGAATTATTTGATTTTGGAATGAAATCAAATTCACTGTTATCTGTAACTTCGCAGATTCTTGTCATCGATGTTTGTAGATTTTCTGATACACAAATAAAATGAGAGTTTGTGCTTTGAATATGTTTGGGAGAACAAGTGATTTTGATCTTGTTTTGCGATAAAGACAATTTAACTGTTTTTTCTTTGTTCTCTAAGTTTCCTTTACTGAAACCTTTGAAGAACGTTTCAATGAACTTTTCACATTTGTCGAATCCACCTTCAACAATTTTGTTTACTTCATAGAACATGTTCTCATATTCTTCGTTTAGGCGTTTGTATTGATTTACAATTGGATTATTGAATTCTTCAGGTGGTTGGATTAACCAAGTACATGTTGAATGAGTGTTTTTATCCCATCTTGACCATGATTTTACTGTTGTGTTCAAGAGGTTTCCATCTGAGAAGACGAAGAAACTATATGATGACTTTAAGTCTTTATTTATTATCTTTTGAATGGCAATAAATGGATCGGATGATAATCTCTTTGTATCGAAAGTTTCAAGAGCAACTTGCAGATGCTTTCTCTGCAATTTTTCAGATAATTTCTTGATTTCCAAGTATTGGAATTCTCTATCTGCGAAAACAACAAGTCTGTATTCAAGTCCAAGTTGAGAACATGCCATTGCGAAAGCAACAAAATACAACAAAATGTCGCGCTTGATATCTTCTGGTGTGATTGATTTAATATCAAGCAACAAAACAATTTGGGAATTAGTGTTGATTTGTAATTTGTTTGCATAATTAACAATGTTGAAAGTGGTTTCTGTTGCATAATCAATGAATTTATCAATTGGTAATTCAGTATCTGCAGCAATATCATCGATTTTATCAATTCCTAAACCAGGTTTATTTTCCATGTCCTCGGAATAATTTTGTGGTTTATCAATGTTGTCAATCATATATTTGTAAACGTCTTCATCTTTGACTGGTCCACTTCCTCTTCCTTGTTGTGAATTTAAGCTAATTTTAGGTTCAAGCTCCTTCTTTGGAATAACTGTGACAATTGTACCATTATTTTTATTTTCTTGAGGATTTGGTTTCTTTTTATGATCTGGAAGATTTGGTTTTAATGGCATATTGAGATTTAATGGCTTCCTTGAGACCATTACCCAGTCTTTCTTGAACTGTTCAACAGAAAGCAATGACTGCTTTGGCTTCATGATAGATTGAATAAGATCACTGTTTTTAAGATCTTTCTCATTTATTTTAAGATTTTGAATCTTGCAACCAGACTTATTCAAAATTTTGAAAAGTGAAATGAAACTGTTGTTGAATTCAATGCACTGAGACAAGAATGGAGTTGTTTTTAGTGTAGATCCGTTGCTCGACCATGCATAGAAAGCTGCCAAATTTTTGAACTGTATTTCTGCTTGAGAATTTGGAAATCCTATGGTATAATCTTTGTAATTTGACATTATCAAAACAAACTTTCTGCATCTGGAGAGAATTTCAGAGATTTTTTCATAAATTGCTTTTGCGGATGTTAATGCTCCAAATGAGATTATTTCTTCATCGAATTCTTCATCATTTGGAACCATGTCCAATTTCAATATTGGTTCATTTGCTTCTTTTAATTTCGAGTTAATTCTTTCTGATATTACCTTTCTTTCATCTGGACTAATAATCCTTGTATCAAATGTTAGTTTGTGTAAACTATCAGCCTTGATTTCAGTTACAATTGTTGTGCTGTCGGACGAAGTAAATTTTAGAATATCTTGTTTCAATTGTTCACTGTTTTGGCTTTTTGATTGTTAACTTCGCTCAGATCAAATTTTATGTTTCTTTTGCTATTAACATCGTTAATATTAAATTGATCATCATATGTTAATTGGAAATCATCATTTTTGAGTTTATCGAATTTCTCCTGCATTTTCTTAACAATAAACTCCTTTATTGATTGTTCTCTATCTTCTTTCCTAACGAAATTCTTGATTTTGCTGTTAATGATGTTAATTGCATTTTTTCCGAAGAATTCTTCCAATTGAGTAAGAAGATCCTTAAGATTTGTTTCTGGCATTTCTTTAATATTTGCTGCAATTTTACCAAATTTAGGATCAGAAGCAGGAATCCAAAGATTATTATTGATGAAAAGCAATAAGCACTTATCATTTAACTCCTTTTGGTATGTGCCTTTAACTATCTTTGGTATGGATTTGATTTTATTTGTGGTCAGAATTGTTCCATATCCTTTTTCGTCATAATAAGCATGAGGAAGCATTCTATTCTTGTGATATAAAGAATAACTGATATCATTATAATAGCAATTGCATTCTCCAAATTTAAGAGGATTTCCCCTTTCTGGACAAATTATTTTCAAAGGAATTTCTTTTTTCCATTGGAATTGTTGGCCATCAATACTAATTTCCAGCATTGATTTTTCATATTGATTGCTTGCAATTGACTTTATATCGACTTCAATAATAATATGACCTTGATGTTCATCGAATGAAGAAGTAATCTTCTTATTAATGAGGCTGACATTGTTTAAACAATCTTTAATAGTAATCCTTGGTTCTTCTCTATATTTCATGAAGAATGAAACAAGGAAACAGTATTTGTTATACGTGTATCCAATCTCTAATTCATTTTTAACTGATATTGTTTTATATGGTGGATATAATGAATTAAAGAAAATTTTTCTATTATACAAATTAGATGGAGTATTGATTTTGACTTGAGAATTTTCCAATGGAGTGTGATACACGTGGAAAGTAATACCATCGATCAAATCATTTTTAGAAGACTTTTGAAAAACAATTGTTTTGTCATTATCTTTCAATTGTATTGGAGATTCTGGTAACTGACATTTGACATTTTCGATCAAAATTTTTTGTTTTGGATTTTCTTCTCCTGTAATTTCTGGGATAATATTGATATTATCTTCTGCGATAAAATCTTTTTCAAAAGTAATTCCGTCCCTGTGATTGATAAACTTGTTTCCACGAGAATCAAGGAAAACAACAGAGTCAATGAAATGAGCCTTGACTTCATACTCAATCTTTTTAGTGTTGATGTTCATTATTCCCGTGAAAGTCATATCTTGTATTATGTCATTTATTGGGAAGATTAAATTAATTTGTGCATCCTTCATTTCATAAGTTGGAGTTGGTGTTTCTTGTGATGTTGGATGAAATTCGATTTTAACTTTTGAAGCATTTCCAAAAACATAAACAGGAATGCAAATTGGAGTTGTTTGGATGCCTCTTAATATGCAAGGAACATCAGATTTGATGGAACTGAATGTTGGAATAACATTTTCTTTATCAACATTAACAGCTGCCATGTTAAACGCTGAATTATCGGCCTTAGTGAAGTCAATTTTAATATTAGGCTTCTTAGCCTTATTATCCTTATTATCCTCGTTAGAATCTAGGGTTGGTTTATTGTTTTTATTTTTAGGAGGTTCAAATTTCTGAAATGGAAAATTATCAATTTTTTGGCAAACTTCTTCAAGATTTTCGATACATCTATCATATTCTTGGATTTTTCCTTCAAGATCCTCTAATTTCTTTTTAGTATTAGATGCCGTAATATCTGGATTTATCCTGTGTTGAGGTTTGCTAAATTTGTTTCTAAATTCCTCTAAATATGGTTTATCTGACTGTTTGTTTTTGACAAATTCTGAAAGATCATTGAATGTATATTCTGTCTGGTTTGAAACAAAAATTACTGAGGTTTCATCTTCATAAATACTATCCAATGCTTTTGGATTCTTTTTTAATAACCTGTTGAAATTTTCCCATTCAAATTCTAACATTTCAAAATTAATTCCTTCTTCTTTTTGGGCAAATTTAGAAATTTTGATTGTAAATAGATTCAAAGGTTCTTTAATTTCAAGTTCATTGATGAATTTATGTGGAACAACCAAAAATGTGTCCTTATGTGGTTCAATATTGTAGTCAACTTTGTTTTGAGGATTGTTTTTATTGATGAAAGAAATTGATTTATATTTCCAATCATGGATATAAATTAGTCCAATTTCCTCCTCAAATTTAGTTGAAACTCCTGAATCCAATTTATTCAGGAATTTATATAATTCCTTTGTCTCTGGGTACACAGTTAATTGTTGTGAATTAGGATCCCAATTGAATTGTGTCATTTCACTTAAAATTGATTTCATAATGGTTGAATAATTTTGGTAGGCCTCAACAATTTCTTTTGAAGAATCGTCTTGTTCAAACTGATTTCTGAATTTCAATGGATCATCAATTTTCATTGCCATTTCAAGTTGTAGAAGTGATTTTTTGATTTCGTTTTCTTTTTCTTTAATATTTTCAACGCATTTATTTTTCTTTTCCATCAATTTTTCATTCTTATCATTGAGATGATCATGAACATATCTAATATATTCTCCAATTGGATCCAATAGATAGCTTGTCTGTCCACAAATAAATGAATCCCATTTTTCTTTTGTCAAAGGATTGTATTTTTCCAAGCAGTGAGATAAGTAATCTCCAATAAACATGTTGGCTTGCCTGACATATTGATCATTTGATTTATATGTTGCAGCTTGTATTATGCAGTCATGCAACAAACATGTGAAGAATTCCTTGAAACAATATGGTGGATTTGACAAAGACAATGAAACAATGATTGACTTCTTGTTTTCTTTAACTGACAACAAATTTTGAATTGAATTGTTGACAGATTCTTTCATTTCACTTGTGAACTTATCTGTTTCGAAAACGATTTGTTTGAAAGAAGAAACAACTCTGATCATGAACATACCATATGTCAATACTTTATTTGATCCGTCAAGAAGTTTATAAAAGTCTAGATTCCGAATCAAGAAAAGACCTTGAGCTGGAAATTCATCAGTATATGATATTATTTTGTCATTGGTTTCAAATTGAGGGAAATCTCGAATGTCGTATTTCTTTGATGTGGCCTTTGCAATCAAATTTTCATAGTCTTGACTTCTTTCATGAACTTCTTTCATATATTTCCTCATATCTTGGACTGTCATGAAATTAGTTTTATATATTTTAGAACAAATTTTAAGTAAACTTCTTTCTGGGAAAAATGGAATTCTTATTGGCAAATTAACATCATATTTCTTATTGTATTTAACAATAAATTCATACCAGCTTGGACTAGGAAGTTCTTTTTGGTTTATATAGCTGTTTACCTTTTCAATGAGATTATTAACATTGAATAAACTCCTGTCAGAATTATAAATTGCGTTCAGGTATTTGTCAAAAATATCAAAAAGTAATGCATTTGAATCATACATATTCAAAGTTAATGAAATACCATCATAAGTCTTAAAGATATCTCCTATGTTGTAGCCGCGATTGTGTAATACTAAAAGACTTGAAATGCAACTGTTTGTATTCAAGAGATTGCCGAAATGATACAAATCAGAAGAGAAATCCATTAATGCAATAAACCAGTCAGATTGATATTTGTTTTCTGGATCAGTCTTTGTAACATAAGAAGAAAGTTTATCATAGGAAACTATATTTGGTGACTTCGCTTGTTTGATTACTTTCTCTTGATCGATGCCAGCTGGAACCCAACCAATTGTTTCGGTCAAATCAAACAAAAATGCTAATTCTGGATGAATTTCCTTCAATTTATCCCACTTCCTTTCATCTTCATTATTAAGATTTCTCTTGTCGTATTCATCTTGAAGTTTACTCAGAATTTCCATGAAATCTTTTGGTAATCCGAAATCGTATTTTTTGAACGATTTCGCAATGAGATCGATGTTGTAAAGTTCAGTCAATGAATTATTATTGAAGGAATTAATTAGATGTGATATTTCAACTGTTTTTGATGGTAATAAATCTTTCTTAATAATCATTGTTGTAAATTTATCAAGTAATGTAAGTAAGTCATGGCTTTTTATTTCAAAGCATATTAAGTAAGCATCGAAAATATGTTTGAATATTCCATCAAAAAGTTGTGAAATAACACTAATATTTGGAACATTGAAATATAAATTTGGATATCTAAAAATATTGTTTTTGATTTCATCAGAAATATACTTCAAATCAATGTTTTCTGAAGCGAGTTCACTTGGTAAAACAATGCCTTCGTATGTAGGATATGTTTGAGAAATGAATGTAAACTCTGCAACGATCTCATTCAAATTAGAATCCTTTGATCTTTGACAATTGGCTATTGTTAACTCTTTGATTTCTTCGATTGTGTTAGCATTAAGTTTAGAAAGTTGTTCAACAATTTGATACAATCTATTCAAATAAATGAAATCGATGAACCAATTTGGTTTTGTTACTGATTTGAAATCTTTGACCCAATTATTCAATAAATCTATTGCATCCAAGATGTCTTTCAACTGTGCACATTCAATGACTTTAAATACATCAATAATTGGCTGATCATTTTGTATTCTTTCTTCAATTAATTTCTTAAATTCATCGCTATCAATTAATAACGATAAATATAATTTCATTAATTCCTTAACAAAACCTTTATCAATTTTTTGAAAGAAAAAATTATAAATCTTTTGATTAAGTTCAGACTTATCATTATCTATTTCGTTAAGATTCTTATTGTAAGCGATTGTCAAAGCTCTCTTGATTTGCTGGGAATCAACATCTTTATTATCAGGTTGACTATAATAAGTAATTAATCTACAAATTCTTGATATTGATCTTCCTGTTATTTCGTAGCTTGAATCATTTGGATACTCCTGCTTCAGCCAATTGCGAATTTCACAATGACAAACTCCGATTCTTGTAGCAATTTCAATCTTATCAACTGTGGTATCAACATAATTAGTGTCTGGAATATTGAGCATTGCTATTTCTGCGATTGATTTATAATCAATATCAATTGGATCCATCTTTAGAATAGCGCATCTTGAAAGGATTGTTCGTGGAAGAGGAGTCTTTTTATGTGTTGCTACATCATTGTATGTGAAAATGATTCTAAAGTCTTCATTGATCTGATTTTGAGGAATTTTTGATTTGGTTGAAAAGTGACACCTTCACCAACTTCATACAAATTCAAAGATGGTTCGAAATCAAGCAAAGTAATGATCATTTCCAAAATATTTGGAGGACATGATTCAACACCATCGAATAAAACCCAATCGCCATTCCTCATTGCAGTAATCAAACCGGATTCTGAATATTCCATGTTGTTGATCAAATGGCTGGCTTTTGTAATGATTGCTTTCGCTTCTTTTCCAATTTTGATTGTGTTTTCATCGTTTGATGCTTTGACAATTTTGTCAATTTCATTTGCCAAAACTTTGAGTTTCTTGACTTCAACATTTTTATTATTGTTTCCAGAAATCATCATAGAGAGTTCATTAAAAGAAGGATCTTCGGAAAGCTTGGTTAAAATCTTATTAATGTTTTGTTCACTGATATATTTCGATGGTTTATATGATCCAGTGATTGCTGAGATTGATGTATCAGCGTTGACAGGAATAACCACTAATTTCTTGTTGATTGCTTGCGCAAACAATCTGACTGTATAAGTCTTTCCTGATGCTGTTCCTCATGTAACAATCAATGGATATCTCTTGAGTTTATTCGCTGCCAAACAATAAAACAATTTTTGTTCGCTTGGAGTCAGTGTCACAAGTTTTTCTTGGAGATTTAGAGCAAGATTGGCATTTTTGATTGGTACTTGAACTATTAGATCACCAACCTTTAATGTGGATCCGCCTGGTGCATATGAAATATCTATTTTGCTCCATTCCTGATTTTGTTGGTTCTTTCGATCTTTGAAAGTGATTTCTTGAAGCAAATTCTTTAGATTTTTGAAATGATATTCCAATTGAGAATACATTTGGCAGTTTCGTGCAATATTCATTTCAAAGTAATTAACAGGTATCTCGGAAGTATTCTTCAAAATAGATTCACAAACAGCTCTCATTTCATTTGAATCGTATTCATCTCTTCTGAAGAAAATTGCTGATTTCTTAAGAGCAGGAGAAACATTTCCTGAAGCAATACCAATAATAGAAAATCTTCCTTTCTTCTCTGATTCTCCATTTGTCCTCATTATTTTCGATTCAGGGTTGTTATCGAACAAACTTGTTAAAGCATCAATTAAACTTGGTGATGCTAGATTCAACTCTTCAATGATGATTAATGATCTGTGATTTGATTCACTTGCTGCTTTGAAGAGTTCTGTTGGAATATAATCGAAAATTTTGTTTCCGTTTATATCAACTTTGATTGAATTTCTTCCAAACAAATCTTCAACAGTTGTTGATCTCGACAACTGGATTTTGATCACGTGACTATTGTTTGCGAAATCTTTCATCAAACTCGCAACATAGTCAGCAAGCATTGACTTGCAAGTACCTGTTGGTCCTTGAATAATGATTGGAATATCTAATGACAATGCTGTGAAGATCTTTACACACAATGTTTGTGTTGTTTTTGTGAAAACAATATTTGAATTTGTTGGATCAACAGAAGGAGCTGAATAAGAAAGGATATAAGGATTATCTGATTTCAAGTATCCATCATCTATTTTCAAAGGTGTTTTGAATTCTTCGCATTGATTATTTTCTGTTCCTAAGATTTTCGCAGCTTGTACTTCTAATTTTTCTTTAGAAATTTCTTCAGAAGAATTCAAAATTTTGGTTTGAATTGCTTGGATTTGATCAATGATTGATTTCATCAAAATCAATTTATGGATATGGAATTTAGGATCTTTAGCATATTTATCAGATAATCCTGTGATTGTCTTTTTCTCTGCAACAGTATATGGTTTGATAGAAATGATGTTAAATCTTGATTTCATGGCTTCAGAAATCCTATTAAAATCATTTAAAGAACTCAAAGCAATGATTCTAAATCTATATTTTGAATTTTGATCGAGATTTATTTTGATAGTTTTATCATTTTCTGGAGTGATTGTGTTCGTGTAATCTTCAGTTAATGTTAATTCTGGTTCTATTGATAACAATTCATTGAATCTTTCAATAACAGATGTTGGAGGTTTTGAAAAATTCTTGATGATTATAGGAGATTGTCTGAAAAGATAGTGAGTAATTAATCCAGGTTTGAAAACAGTTGTGTAATCACCTATCGCTGTATTTGGTATATCAGCAATTAATTGTTTTGTGATGTAATCAACAGATTTCTTGAGATAAGGAACATCAATTTGTTTTGTGAATTCAACTAATTTATCTAAATTTTCTTTATTTCTTACAAAATTCTTCTTGAAATCTGTGAATTTCGGATATAATTTTTCATTTGAAATCATAATTGTATGAAGTAAATCAAGCAAAATCCTTTCATATGTCTGTTGTCTGACATAAGAAACTTGGCCAATTAAAGAAGCTGTTGTTGTTTCACTTCCTAATGTTACTTGGCTTGGAGCAACTGTTATTGAATTTGCCAAAAATGTCTTGAATGATGATTCTCCAACAATTAATAAAGGATCAGTTGGAGGAACTAAAGAAGCCAAGAAAACTGCATTCCAAAATGATGAAATTGATTTAGGAACTCTTTTGGAATTTTCAATGTTAAAAACAGATCTAATTCTAAGAATACCTTTGATTACATAATTATCTTGAGGAACTGCATCTGCAGATAATATTTGAACCAAATTATCGATGTCTGTATATCCAAATGATTCTCCAACAACTTGACAAATTGTTTTAGTTGATTTTTCTGGATCAGGACACATCATCCATGACATAAATAATGCATGCATCATTGCGGATGGAGCAATAGATATTTTATTCAATTCATCATTACTTTGAAGGAACTCAATAGGCTCAGAATTTTTAACTCTTCGGCAGAACCTTCTAACTTCTCTAAATGACCATGGACGGATTTTGTCATCCTCTTGGAATTTTTTGTTGATATTTATGACAAAATCTGTCAATGCATTTGTTAATAATGGCAAATTGTATTCAGAAGTAATTAGTTTGATAACTGCTTTGATGGAGTTGATAGGGAATGGATAATCAAAGCAAACAACACGTTTAAGAAGTACTTGTGGTAATGGCTTCCGACCAAACATCGTGTTATCGTTCTGACAAACGATGAAAAAGTATTTTTCATGGATTTTTGTTGTTCCTTCTGATGGAATTTCTATTGATTCTCCTGGTTTTTGTTCTAAAGCTATGATGAGGGATTGAAGTACATTGATTTCTGCGAGATTTGCTTCATCAGCTATGAAGAAACCTCCTTCTTTGATTGCTTTTAGTAATTGACCTTTTGAATTGTTCCACGAGAAATTGTGATGTTTCCTATCAAATCGGACAATTTTGTTTCTGCGTTGAAAGACACTTTATAGGCATTGAAATTCAATCCTTTTGCCAATGAAACAGCTGCTGAGGTCTTTCCGAAACCTGTTCCGCTCTGAAGAACAATGTGTTGGCCAATGTTTTGCATCAAAATAATCAATGAAACAATGTTTGAAATCTTAAGATATCATATGAGTTCATTTTTGAAGTTCTTTGAGAAATTACTCTTTAACAGATTGTAATACTTGATAGTAATGTTACCGAAGCTACAGCCTTATAAAGGGCCGTTTTCCCAAGATACTTGAAAACTTCGAATATCTTGGAACAACTGCTCTTTAAAAGACTATAATTTGTATAAGCTTGGAATCCATTATAAGCTACTTACTTGAAATATCTTCTTCTGAATATTATCAAAATACTTTGACAATATCCATAAGAATAAGCCTCAAATAAGGTAAAATATCCAATGTTCTGATGGGTAATGACTATTTATTAACGAATATTTGCAGTTTTAAGAAATATTTTGTAATTTAAATTTTGACTTATTTTGAATTTTTAAAATTCGTTTGATTTAGTTTGTTGTATTTCATTGATAACAATATAAGTAATTCGATATGATCTATCAATATCAGCCCGCATTTCCGTATTTATTTGTGTAATAATTTTAATTTATTTATGATGCTTTTTTGATTTAAAAAATAACTATTGGAGATAATGCATCTGACATATCTCTAGCTTTCTACATCATACTTACCGATTTTGAAGCCAAGAATAAAAACTTTCTCATTGACTTACATGAAATGTACGTTTAAAAAACGATTATTTAACAAAACTGGAATCGACTCTGAATGACACCGGAAAGCCAACCAATGATGAGAAAAAAGTATTAATCTCCAATAATTAGAACTTCAAGTTGAAATTCAACTTCGGAAATAAGATAAATAAACATTTCTAACTTTACAATGGAAAGAAAATTGACGATCTATAGGTCTGGACAAAATCGAGAAAAAAAAACTTTACCATTGCAGCGGATTCCATGCGGACTTACCACTGGTTACCGTATGAACAGACCTAGCCATCTATGTTGAAAATGATAAAAAAGGCAATTTACATTTTGAGTATCGATTATTCTTCATTCAAATGTCAATTTATGGTTAAATCAAATATAATTACAATCATTGTAATAAACTAATTTTAAATGGTTTGTTTTAGGCGTGTAAAGATTCAAAAATGTCATAATCTATTGAAAATTTTTCGATTTCAATGGTTTACGAAAATTTCAAATTACATATGAATTCTCTCCCTCCTGACATTGGAAACTATACTTTTTGTGAGTTTCTTGGGAGAGGAGAGTTTTCAGAAGTATATAAAGTTCTAAACAAGCAGAATGTCTTTTGATTACCGAAGTTATATGATGAATTCTTCGAAAAACGGAACTTCTGGAATGAAATCTTCGATTGTAACTAACTCTAGGAACCCTTTGAAACTTGTTGTTCCCAAAATTAACCAGAATAAGGCTCATGAAGTTCCTCCTGCTATATTAAGAAAGAATCATTTATAAATATGTTTGTAATATTATTATTTTTTAATTTAAGATATATTTTTTAATATCATTATTTTTCACATTCACAATGCTATTCTCTGTTATGCCTTATACTTGAATTCAAGCAAAAATACTTTTTCAAATATTTCAAGTATAGATGCATTGTATTTAAACTAGGTAATTTTCCGGAGTAAGGAAACTTTACTACAAAGAATTAACAACTGCCAAACATGTGAAAAAGTAGTTTTAACAATTAATAATGTCCAAATATTAATTAACAAATACTTTGCAGTTAGTAATGTGCAGATTTCATTTCATCACATTTCTTCGAAATTGATGAGAATAAACTCATAACAGTTGCCAAAAAGTTTGGACTTGACATCATTCAGAGAATCATCTCTAGTAATAAATTGAAAATAAAAGATGAAGACTCATTGGTAAAATTTATTATTTGCCTGGTTAAAGAAAATGAAATTTTCTATGATTTGATCGATCAGATTCATCTAGAGTTTTGCAGTCAACATATTATTGAAGAAGTTAAAGATATAAGTAATCCGGAGAACTACATTTATATCATCAAATCATTTTATGATTCTTTATTGAGAACCATCAATAATATGCTAGATTTTGATGAATTTAAACAAAAAGTTTCTGAATTAAAGAAATCTAATGATTTCAAAAGAATCTATGATTTCTTAGACGAAATATCTAAAAAATACAATAAATTTATGATTAGATATGCATTCAAAGAAGGACTTTGTGAAGCAAAAAATCAAGATGAAAATTACATTCTAAATAATGCAGCGCTTGAAGGAAATCTCAGGATTATTAAATCTCTCATTGAATGTGGATGTAAAGTAGATCCAAAGAACTGTCTTGGTTATACTCCACTTGTGAATGCATCAGATCAAGGTCATCTTGAGATTGTGAAACATCTTGTCAGTGCAGGAGCCAATATAGAAGAAAAGGGCAAATTAGGAAAGAATGCACTTATATGGGCCACAAGTAGTAATCATCTTGAAGTTGTTAAATATCTCATTTCTGTAGGAGCTAATAAAGATGCAAAGGATGATAATGGAAAAACTTGCATTGATTATGCAAATTCTGAAATTAAAAATTATTTAAATTCAGTTTAATATATATTACTGAATGGTTTTACTTTTTTTCCATTCTAGAATGATCCTTAAAAACTCTCTCAATTATCTAAATTAGAGAGTTATAGTGATATTTGAAGTTATATACTTCACATTTAATTTATCTTACTAATTCATCCAGATCAATTAAAAAAATGCTTATTTGATTATTTTTATCTGTTATACATTCAAAGGAATTTATAATATATCCAAGTGTTTTATGCACAAACTAAATTTTAAATAATTTGATAATTCTATAAAAACTTATAAAAAAGCTCTCAAATTGATAACATTGCAGATGGCATTTAATGAATCTTCATTTCACAATCTTAATGGCAATCTCTGATGAGGCTTCCCAGTCACTAGAAAGTAAAGTCTTTTCGGGGGGAAAAATCGAAATGAAGTCCCCAGTCATATGACCATATGAAAGCTATTGTATTTACTTTAGCAATTGTTTAGATTTTTGGACTGATACAATCTATCATAACTTTGTTTGCTCTCAGAAATGATTATTCAATTAAAATCTGTCCTCTAAAATTTTCAAAAATAATTATGAGTTTAAAAAAATTATTCTACCAATACAAAACATATTAAGCAAACAACCATTATATTCAATTTTGAATTCATATTAAATCTGACGGTTATTTTTCAAAGTTTTTCAATACTTTTTTCAGTCATTTAAAATGGCATCACGCGCACGGACTATGCTTAAAGTTCTCTTTCTTGGTGATACAGGAGCTGGGAAGACATGCCTCTTGAATCAATATGTTAGCAGAGAATTTTCATCTGACTATAAAGTTACAATTGGCTCAGATTTTACATCAAAACAAGTTGAAATTGATGGAAAATTCGTCACCTTACAGATTTGGGATACAGCAGGACAAGAAAGATTCCAATCTCTTGGTTCAACATTCTTTAGAGGAACAGATTGCTTGATTTTGGTTTATGATGTCACCAATGCAAAATCATTTGAAAATATTAATAAATGGAAAAATGATTTTGTCAGACAACTAGAACTTAAACAAGATTCAAACTTTCCATTTTTACTGCTTGGAAACAAGTGCGATATTCAGAACAAAGTTGTTCAGGCTTCAGCAGCAAGAGAATATGCCCAAATGAATGGAATGATATTCCATGAAGTTTCTGCCAAAACTGCTGAAGGAGTACAAACAGCATTTGAAGAGATTGTAAGAAAAGCCCTTGAAAACACTCATACTGATGAATTCGTTTTACCACAGTCAGTAATCAATATTGAAAAGAAGCAAGAAGAAAAGAACAAATCATGTTGTTAGAAAAAAAATGTTCTATCTCAGGGAACATTTATCATATTGAAAATCAGATTTTTGATTCTTTCATAAACTTATTTGAGTTATACACTTTTTTTAATAAAGTATAAGTTGATATATATAAACTTACACCCATCTGACAAAAATCAAAACCATGACAATTGATGTGAATGATCATTAAAAAATTTCCTTTAAACACAGGACTCGAGAACTAAGTCATATTTGCATTAATACACCAATAAAAGGAACCGCAATCAACTACAGATTCTTAAAACTCAAGCAACAAAGACATTTAGTACTCCCTTGATACATTATCAATATAGCATTTCCTGTTAAAAGAAATTGCCTTGCTTTCACATAAAATACTAGTGCGTTTATGTAACAACATATCATATTAAACAAAAATTACTAACATGCATAACTGAGTCAATATACATCACGAATTATAGAATAGGGTTGAATGGTGAGCAGATGATTGGTATATATATATGCTGTCTTATTTTCATCCAATGGTTTGACTTCCGACTTGGTATCCCCAATATCACTGTTGTTAGGGAGAGGGATATCTGTCAAGTCCAGCAAGAAATAATCATTATCTGGCTTTGTGAGTGACGCACAAACATATTATAGTCAACTATGCTTTATATCTGCAGAATACAACATTTGCAATGTGTTATTGATCAATCTTCTGATAAATTTAATATTGATTTAAAATGAATAAAAATTCAATCGATTAAAATAATATATTTTATACATAACAACTCTATTTTAATGAGTAAGATACAATTTATACATAAGAATGAACCTTTTTTGTGAGAAATTCAAGAATTACATCTTCAATCAATCCAGAACCAGTTTCAAGTGTAATATCATCATTTGTAAACAAGATAGAAGCCTTTGAATCACCCTCAACAAAAGGAAATTCGAATGTCAGCCTATTATCACTGAAATCAATGTTTTGTGCGCCTTGATCAGTCAAATAATAAACAATTTGCTCAAGAATAGGAGGACTGACAACGAAATTTTGAGATGTTGATGCAACTTTTGCATATTCTCCAACAATATTTCCGGAAAATACTGGAAAACGGGAATCTGCAAGCTGTAGCTCCTTGATATCAACCCATCTGACTAAATCTTCACTAATCGGAGTTTCAAATGGATATGGTTTGGCATTTTTGATTGAAAATGAATCCAATCTTTGGAAAATAGGCGGAATGATGACATTTTCACTCATCATCTGGTTTATGTATCTTGAAAGTGCCTGGTAACCTGAATTCATTGCATAAATATATGGTTTTGGCTCAGGAGAAATTATTTGCATGAAATCGCAACGGTTTCCTAAGAAATCTCTGGCCTGGACAATTTGTCCTATTGGTTGGTTCGGTGATGGACCAAACAAAACCGAAGAACCTTCTAATATATTTGAATCTACTTTTTCTGAAATTTCTAAGCCATTTATGGCCTCTGTATATTCAAAGGATGTGGCAATATCCATCAAAGTTTGTCCTCTATACGATAAATGAGCGAATCCGACTGATAATGCTGAAGTATATCTCAAATAACTCATTAAAAAGAAGAGAATATCATCTGTAAATGTGGGAATGACAACTTTCAAACCGTAACCGAGTTTCTCTTTGACCTTTGATGCAATGATTTTGATGGTTTCTCCACAATCAAATTCTGAAATTGCTGTAGGAACTACGCAGACAACATCAGGTGCCTTTGGAGGAGGTGGAAGTGGAGTAGCTTGGGAGTTCGAAACTATTGGACTGTAAGGGGGTGTAAATGTGGTTGATGTATTGTATCCAGTAACCAAGAAGGCTTTGAAAGATACTAATTCAGCATCTGTATTCTTTGTTATAAGCCAATTGCAGTTTCCAATACCGCATCCATTTGGCGTTGGAATGAAGCATAATTCTGTAAAAGTAAATGGTTGATGGAAATTAAGTGTTATGATTCTTAAATCAGTAGGTAACGGATTTCTGTTATTTGAGTCTATCATTCTATATTCTGTAATCAAATTTCGTCCAATTCGATAATTTGCTTGAGTTGTAACGATAAGTCCATGAAATTCTGGGATTTTCATAAGAGCTTCAACAAGTACATATGATCTTCCATCACTAATTAGAACTATATCGATGGTTGAATAATCAAAATTGAATTGACTTGTGAAAAAATTAGGCAGAAGATGTTCCGATGTGGGAAATTGCTCGAATAACGCAAGAATTTTAACTCCTAAACATTCAATTATTGTTCCATTATTCTTACAATCAACACGAAACATTTTTTTTTCTTTTATGAATACTAGAATAGACATTTGATAGCAAAAATAGAACTAATAAAGCACAAATATACGAACTCTTCAAGAAATTAGCAATAAAATGCATAATAATGAATTTGATTTTTTTGAATCTTAAAATTCATGAGCCATCATAGATACTACTGCAATTACATTTATGAATATTGCATATTTTCGTAGTGACAAACATAAATAAAAGAATTCATATGAAATATCTTATAAAATAAAGGTCATTAACATCTTAGATTCTGAAAGTAAGATATTTTTTGTGAAAACAGCAATTTTTATTCTTTTTATTTCAATCTATTTCGGTATTTTTAATTTTTCAAATATTTCCAACAAAAAAAATTTAATTGACAAGGCCTTGTTCGAACATCTGTCTGCCAGTAGGAGGCAAAGTTGAATCTTCCTTTGGGGCCATTTCTTCGTTGAATTTGGCCAGCCAAAGTAAGAAATTCTCTCTTGAGAATGGTGTAGATGTGACTTGTTCTTGTGTAACCTGGAAATCTTTCTCTGGGATACCAGCGAGGAATGTTATGCCATTTCCAACGAGATATGCAATCATTGATAATCCAGCCATTGTTCTTGCGACTTTAGTAAGGTGCTCTTCGAGCTTTTTACCAGAAATACCTTCGATTTTTGCGTGGACGGCCGGAATTTCGTCTGGATATTGTTCTGTTACAGTAAATGTCAATGTAGCGTTTCTTCCTTGAGTTGAAATAGCGATGGAGACAATGTTCTTTTGTTCCATCTTATAGTTATCGCCGTAGATAAGGGCAAGCTCCTCTTTCTCAAGCTCAAAGTTATTCATTCAAATTTTTTGGCCTATCGTCACCTTCGGCTATCAACCAAATCTCGTGATATAATTGATTCAATTCACGTACATTTTTGTCTATTTTACGTGGTATGACAGCATATTATTATAATTTATCATCAATCTCGATTTTTCAAAATTCGTCATCTCAATCATGATGAATTTCAGGTTAAAATCAACATTAGAAGACCTCAAAGAGATAGTTGAATTAATATGTCCACTATAATTCCTTATATATCTCAAAATAGAAAAATTTCAAAAAAATATTTCAAGAAAGGAATATCTTATGTAATGAATAATACGCCCTTGGAGTAAAGCCAAGTTCCGTAGCTTGATTTGACATTTATTTTTCGTATTTAAATTTTGATAACTAATAAAAATTTTTGTATTTCTAATAATAATAGTTTTTAATGTACAACAGCGCGTTGGGCTTTGAGAATTTGTGAGAAGTTATCAACAACATCGTCATCCCAATCATCAATAGTTTCAACGCGTTTCTTTTCTTCTGCAACTGGTCTAGAGGTAAATCTGAAATCTTCAAACTCATCATCATGCTGGATATCGATATCTTCCTGCTGTGGAGTCTGTTCTGCTGGTTTGCTCATCTCTAAATTATAAATCGGTTTTTGTAAACTTGCTCGAACAATTTGCTAAATTTTTTCCTGCATTTATTCAAATTGTGGAAAATAACATATTTATATGTGATTATACTAAAATCTTCAATTTCATCAATTATTCATATGGGATATCTTATCTCAATTTCTATTCCTATAGGAAATAACAAGATTTCTATATGAGATACATCTGTACGTATGATAAAACTTTCATACACCTGTTTCATGATGGCTTATTCTACTTGAAATTGCAAAAATATTACATTATTTGATACAATGATGAGATTAATAGAATTTATTAAGCGTATGTATATAAGATTAGCTGTCAACCTCTTTGGTAGTTAAAATGAATCCTGTATTAAATTTATTATTGGGGATATTTTAAAATAAACAAAGTTTGTATGCAAATTAAAAGTGTATTATTAAAGTATAAATAACATGTTTACAAAACAAAACGTATAGCGCTATTCTTTTTTAATTTGGAAAATTAAGATTCAAATAATTTGAATTTCTAGATCTTGTTGTTGATGGAGGCGGTGGAGCAACTTCATAAATGGATCTGCTATGAGTTCTCCAGTACTTATCCATATCATTTGCAACAGTTTCTCGAATTTTCAAGGCTCTATTTCTATTATCGAAAGCAATTGATCCGATATCAACTTTAGCCTTAAATACTTGCTGTTTTAAGTCTTTATCATAATCATAAAAGTCCCTTTCTGCAGCATGTTTAGCAGCAAGCATTTCTACAGCACGATTATAATCATTAGTCCAATTTCTTGCTCCTTCTTGGCGTTCTTTAAGTTCTAATTCATCTATCTCTTGTTTTAATGCTGCGGCTTTATCCAATTCGTTCGCATCTAATAATCTTTTCTGTACATGTTTTAATTCAATTAATTTTGTTGAAGGATGTGAATACATTCTGAGTTTAGCTTTTGAATGCCATTCTTCTTCTAAATCTTTCTTTTCTTTTTCTTGCCTTTCTTCAATGGATAAAAGCTTGTTTTCGTACTTTAAATTTAATTTATCTTCTTCTGCAGTCATTTTGTGATTGAAAATTGTATAATCTGTTTTAGAATATCCTTTTATAAGAAAGATTTCTGTTTGTTCCTGCTTTTGAGCTTCAATTTTCGTAGCAATTAGTTGCAATTCTTTTACATGATCAAGTGCAGCTTTAGCTTGTAGTGATTTGTTATAGTATCCTTTATCTATAAAGTATGCTCTTCTGTTTTCTAAGTCTTTTGCTACTAACGATAATTCATATGGTGATAAATCAGGTAATTTCTCTCCCATAAGGGCATGAGTTGCATATTTTTCAATTTCATCTAAATTGTCGTTGAGGAGAAGGTCTCTTATTGCTTTGTTCGACATTTGAGATTCGTTTGGTTTGTGAGAACATCGAGGAGAAACGATTTTAGGCCCTTTTCGATTTTGTTGGAAGAGAATATTATTGGCAGCACGCACATTGAATTTCATTGGGCGAGCACTTTTGGGATATTTATTCATTTTTTTTTGTAAAATTAAAATCTGACAAAATTCTAACGAAACTGAGAATTGTGCGGACGATAGAATAAGGTTAGAGTCAATCAAAAGAGCGAATAGAAGAATCATATCCTGCCATAAATAGCTACTAGTTTAAGGACTCTGAATATGGGGCCCGAAAGAAAGAATCGTTTCACAAATTGTGCTTGAATAAAGAAATCACACATGTTCTATTTTGAATTGTGAGCAAATGCAAATATTTCTACATAAATGTTAAGATTCTTGTTAAATTGTTTATGAAAGCACTTAATATTGAATGGAATTGATTTGAATTTGGACTTAGAATGAAATGTCTTATATTCTATACTTACACAAGATAAGAATATAGCAATTAGAAGAAAACTAGTTGAAATTCAAAATCAAAAATAGAAATAGGAAATATGAGTCATAAAGCCAATAAAAATGAGTAAAAATATATAAAATAAACTTAAATCTTATTGTCTATCATATGTAATATGAAAATATTCCATTTGATACAAATTTATGTAATTCTGCACTAACTCCGTGTTTTATTTTGAAAAAAGTGACAATATTATTGTAATGAGTTCGAGAAACAAGAAACGTGAAGATTTATTAGAGAGATTAAAGATACTTAAAAACAAGCTCCATGCAGAGCACTTGAATTGGGTATCTCCTAACAATAAAATAGAGAAATTCGAACCTGTCGAAATTAAACCATCAAAAATGCCTTCAAATACAAAAGCATCAACTGAAAGTTTGCGAAAGAAATGGCGTGAAATATTGGTCGATCAGAAAATACAAAAAATTCAAGATTACCGCACGAAAGATGAATTCCTTTCTTTATGGAAGTACATCAAGGGATATCAAGTTAATGAGCCACCAAACTTAGATAATATATTTTATATTAATAACGAAGATTTCATCAAAGCTCAAAGTTACGCTATTCATGAACTTATTGAAACAGATATTTAAATATCGTTTATGTATATATTTGTTGTGATTAAAAGTTACTATTACGAAATTTATACCTTTTCTCAATTTACCATTTTATTTTTTTTTAATATCTTTATTTATCTGCTGCATATTAATCAATCTGATTTGTTCTTAAGACTTTCCTATAAATCAGGAGAATATGGTAATGATAGTGGCTCCTAATTACTGATCTTAGCTAGTTTCAAATTAAAAGTCGACCTTGGCCTTTCATTTTCATCTTTTGTAACATAGTTATTATGGACATTCATAAAATGATAAATTATTAAACTATGTTTCGGCAATAAAATTTCAAACAATAGTATTGCTATTTGAAAGAATCGAACTTTCAAAACGAATTTACATCCAATAGAATGACATTTTTTATAATAAATCATGGTTGAAATATGAATATGGAGCAATGAAACTTCATCCACGAAATCTGAAAACCACCTGATTTTATTAGATACCAGATATATATTTCTTTTTCTACAAAATCTAAACCTTGCTTCGGATAGCAAAATCAAAAAAGTGACACGACAGATTCAATTTTTTGATGTTTCTCTTCTTTTTTGGCCTTCTCGGTTTTAGTTTCCGTCTCTTGGCAGATGAACCTTCAACAGATCCACCATCTAGAACCCCAATGCCAACTTCAAAATCAGGTGTTCCAAGCAAAGTTGCAGTTATTTGCTCAGTACTCGCCGCAATCTTAACAATCCTCTGTACTGTTTCAATACTTTGTATTGTTAGCAGAAAGCGCAGAGAACCAAAGGGCTACCAACAACCTCTTATCGAAAAATCTCTTATATAAAGTTTAAACGTTATACTATAGTAAGATCAAAATCATCATTTTTTATACAATGCAAGATTATAAATCTTCATATTATTTAAAAATCTTTTTAATTTTGTCTAATTTGTAATTTTTTTTTAACATGATTCAGCATAACGTCATTATAATCCATTTTACTTAGTATTCGATTTGATGAATACTGAGTTCATTTAAGTCAAAGTTAGTTGATAACGATTTTATCAAAATTGAATTGTGTCTAAAGCCAGGATATTATTTGATAGCTATAATTTTTGCTATAGGTATGTTTACAGATCTTAAATGATCGAGAAAACTAATATTTAAAATTCTGGGCTTTTATTTTTAAATATCATTAAAAATTAGTATATTAACAAGAATATAAAAATATTATATTTTTGATCCATTAACATTATTTTCTAAATAATTGAATTTTTATGATTTGAAATTTTAAATTTATGATATTTCTGTATTTTAACATTATAAACAGATACTTACATGTTAGTATTAATAAAATTCATATCCAGAAATGGTTTGAGTGATAAATTCAGCCACAAAAATTTTTGTCACTTTTATGGGCGCCGGAGAGAGTGAAGCTCTTATTGAAGAGGGCGATACAAAGATATACTTTCCCCCAAATATTGATAAATCAGAAGTATTTTATAATCCAGTTCAGAATTTCAACAGAGATATTACATGTTTAGTTCTTCAAGCTTATAATAACAGAGTTAAAAAGCCAACGAACTTATTTGAAGCCTTTGCTGCAACTGGTCTTCGATCAATTAGATATGCACGTGAAGTAACCGGATTTAATTCAATTACAGCTAACGATATTGATAAAAATGCTGGCTCTATTATAGATCGTAATATACAGCTTAACAAAGTCGATAATATAGTTAAATCATCACTTGGAGATGCAAACAAAGTTATGAACTCCCATAAAGGCGAATATCAAATTATTGATTTAGACCCATATTCAACAGTGTCTATCTTTCTCGATGCAGCTATCCATGCTGCAGCTGATGGTGCCCTTCTTTGTGTTACAAGTACTGATGGACGCACTTTATGCGGCCAACAACAAGAAGTTTCATACGGATGGTACAATGTCATGGTCCTAAATACAGAGTTTTGCCATGAGATTGGTATTAGAACCCTTCTTACGCTCATAAAACAAATTGCTGCCAGATATAAGAAGACAATTGAGCCTCTCATTTCATTAGCGGCCAATTTCTACTTCAGAGTATTCGTTATAGTCCATGGCAAGTCAAATGAAACGAAACATCTCGCTTCAGACAACGCATATTTATTATTTTCACCAGATTCTCATCTTTTCTGGCTACAACCACTTGGACGTGACATGTCCAAGGGAGAAAACATCACTGTTAAGCCAGCTCAAGTCACAATTCCCTCATTTAAAGATCCATATACAGAATCTCAGCTTCAACTCGGCGGACCAATATATACAGGTCCAATACATAATAAGGAGTTTATTCAGTCTCTTATTGACCTACTCCCAACAATGAAATTCTTCAAAACAACAGCAAGAATCGAAGCAGTCTTAAATTCATGCATCAGAGAGCTTGATTCACCATTTTACTATGATATATCAGTCCTCACTGGTATTATCCACAGTTCTACACCTTCCAGAGAGATTCTTGTCTCAATTTTAGAGAAATTAGGATATAAAACGTCCGGAACACACTGCAAACCAGGAATGCTTAAGACGGATGCTCCAGGAGAACTTATTTGGGACATCTTGAGGCGCTGGTACTTCGAAAATGACCAGAAGAAGCTGCCAGAGCAAGATAACTCTGCGAAAAAGATTCTTTCCGCAAAACAATCGACAGAGAACAAATTCACGTTTGAAGTTGATCCAGAAGTTAAGGAAAGAATCAGATTAGAGAAGAAGATCTGTAAATTCTATATGAATCCCGAGAAGAACTTTGGACCAAAGGCTGCCGCAAAGAAACAAAAGAATAAATAAAAACTTTTTTTTTGTTTAGTTTGTTTGTTTGCTTGTTTCTCATATTATCAAAATATCTTTATTTTAATAACAAAAATGTATAACAGTAATATCAGGCACTAGGTAATGAATTATAGTATCTCTTTCCCGATCAAAAATATTAGCTTTTTATTATAGAAGGTTAGTAGTATATGTGGACGGGTTGTGTGACTTTTTTTGTTACATCTATATATAGATGAAGGTATGTTTTCCCAGCCTCTATACATAGATGATATAAAATTTTTTCTTACGTTTTTTAAGTCATGAATTCGTAAGAAAGCGCGACATTATTAAATAAATTAGTAATAAATATTATACACTCAACCCATACATAATGAAATAAAAAAAAAATAAAATAAATATTATATACTAAACACATTAAAAAATTAACATTAATTTTAAAATAATTTATTTTTTCATCTTTTATAAAAGAAGCTATATATAGATGATGTCAGATATTCCGCGATTAATTAAACCGATTTTAAAAATAAAGATTGAGTTCAACATTGAACTTTAAGAAACTAATTATTTTCATGAATAAAAAATAAATCATTAAAAATTCATGTCTTACATTTCTGAATAATTTATTTTTATTTTGTGTGAAATGAGCGTCAAAACTAACAACGTTAAAAAATTGGGATTCACAAACGAGGAAATAAAGGATATATTAGAGGAGGCGGGTTATGAAGTTGATAAATATTATTTAAGAAATTGTCAAAAATTCGCGGAGTTTTTAAATGAATTTGATTATGGTGGAAAAATGAATAAAGATGATGTTATAAATTTCTTATATCCCTCTTCTAAAAAAGAAAAACCTAAAGAACCTGATGTTTTTCCTGAATATTATGAAGAACGGATTAAAGATGATGAATATGATGAAATTGAAAGACTGGAAAAAATAAGAGATGAAATAGATGAAAAAATTAAGGAATTAAGAGAAGTTGAAAAATATAATGAAAATGAAGTAGATGGTTTAATGAATATCCCAGCTTCGGAATCAGAAGTACAGAAATCTCATGAAGAAAGATATAAAAATTATGTCTCAGAATCAACACAAAATTTATTAGATGGTGAAATAGATGAAACACTTTCAGAAGAAGGAACTAAATTTATTCGTAAACATAAGTTACAATTTATTGATAATGAAGAATACCCTTGTATCCTACTTTCACCACCTTTAGATTCCGAAAAATTCAAAAAAGCTCTTAAAAACGTGACATATGCAACTAATACGATTAAGAAAGAAGATCATGATATTTACACAAATTATTATTTAAATAAATGCACGGGTGTTGATAAAGTTTTTGATTTATTAGATAAAATATCAAAAGAAACCATTGGAACCTATAAAATTTTGTGTGATTGTGGTTTCATTATTGAAGATACTAATAATGTTTCATATGAAAGAACAGCACCGAAGGAAGATGAAGTGGAAAGGTCTATACCATTCGTTATTAAGAACATAAAAGATATGAAAACGTATAAGCATTATATTTATTCATTTATTTCAGAAAAAATGGAAGCAACCCATAAAACATCTTCTCATCATTTTATAGCTATTCATACATTCCTTTTCAAAGTTGTGAAATTAAATAAGACAGGAATTAGATTTAATGTATCAGGGTACACATTCTTGAGTAAATTAAAATGTATTCGTCACGTCGCAGATGATAAAAATTTATGTATTCTTAATTCATTTTATGGGCTTTAAAAAATAAACTTTATTTTTATTTATTTTTTAATTTTTTATTCTTACATAAATGAACAAAAACAACAGCTAAAATGAATGATAATCAAATTAGAGCAGAAGGTAGAAGGTTATTTAAACGCTTCTATAACATTCCTGATGGTGTTAATCCTAAAACTCGTAGAAGCTATTTAAATGAAGCAATAGATGCATATGAAGGGTTTGACATTTCATCAGAAAGTGAGAGATTAGCGAGAATGTTAAATGTTAATATTGATTTCTATTATTGTGATCCTCAACCAGAAGACGTGGACATAAATAAGGTAGACTTTCCATTAGTGGAATCAATAATGATAGATCCAGAATTTGAAACAGTAAATATTTTATTAACACAGAGTCCATGTGGAAAACTTCACGCTGACAGAATAACAGACGTTGAAGCACTCACCGGCTATAAAGTTTGTCCATATTGTAAAGAAGAAGTTTATTCTATCCGTGATGATCCAGAAAGGAAAAACCAAAGAAGATTTTTAAAGCATTGTGAGAAATGTAAAGAAAATAATGGAAGATTAATTCAAGACGTTCAATTGCAAAAGACCAGCAACCATATGCACCACATATTACGAAACAGAAGATATATCAGTGGTTATTAGCTCACAATTTGCAGGAATATTATAAACCGACAAGATATTATATTACTTTTGACTTTGAAACATTAGAGACTAAAGAAGAATTACAACTTTCTGAGTGTGCAACTTTGAACGCTTACTTAAAACCATTCATGGTATCATCAACGGTTAAATTAAATGATAAAACATATACGAGGAATTTTTGCTTAACTTCGAGTGATTCTTTTATTTCTGATTGGATTGAGTTTTTTATTTTCAACCTGTTCATTAGTTGCTAAATCAAATATTGAACAATAAATGAATTATTATTGAAGACCCATACATTAAATGAAAAACAGAAGGAAACATTTAAAGAACTTCTAGATGAGGAATTCAATAAAGTGAATATCATAGGTTTTAATTCGGGAAAGTTTGATTTAAATTTAATTCTTCGTGATTTAAACACTGCAAAATGGAAAATAAAATCAATGCTGGGTTCATCTTCACAATTTAAGCAAATCATTGTAAAGAAAACAAACGTTCCATATGAATTGAGATTTATTGACATCAGAAATTATATAGCGGGTGGGACATTAGACCAATTCACTCAAGATTTCGGAAACAATAAATCACGTGTTAAATCCTTTTTCCCTTATCAATTCATCACATGGGAAATTACGAAGAAGAATTATATAAAAGGAACCATTCACTCAAGATTCATTTTATTCAGCATTAACTCAAGAAACTATATCAGATAGTGATTATCAAATATATCTCAATGATGCTAAAAATTTTAAGAATAGATTAGAATATTTTATTCATTATTGCAATAAAGATGTTGAAATTATGATTGACCCAATGATAAAATTATTGAAGAAACATTTGTTTATAAAATTGATATGCTTCATAATCTTTCTTTATCATCGAATGCTTCAATGATTCGTTACGCTTTAGCATATAAAGACTTTAATCCTAATGAAAAATATCCTGAGGAAGAGATAGAATCAAGTTTTGAATTAACGAAAAAGTATTGGAAATATAAAATTGAATCATATAAGAAACAAGATGAAAAAGCAGAAAGGGATACTAAAAATAATGTTTCAATGGATGATTTTCAATACTATCACGATTTAATCCTTTCATCTAAATGCAAAATGTGTGGTAAAGCGTTTACATATGCAAATAAACCAACATTGGATAGAATCGATAATGAAAAACCACATACCAAAGAAAATTGTCAGTTAATGTGTTGTTATTGCAATGTCGTAAAATCAAATAAAGATGAAGATGTTCAACGTTTAAGAATCAATTTAAGAAATTATGCATTAAAAAATAATTTACCAATGACTTTAGATTCAGTTGAAGCTTATCACATTCTCCGTAATGGAATTACTGGTGGTTATCAAATGTTCAACATAGAGTAAATCTTAAAGGAATCACGCACATTAATAAACTTTCATATATCCAGAAACTAAAACTGTATCAAATGAGGACACCACCAACATTATGACTCATTTCGTTGGTGTTGATTTTAATTCATTATATCCTTCATCATTTTCATCTAATCCTCATGATTTCATTCAATATACTGACCATAAAATGTATATGCCGGGAAGATTGAATGGTGTTATCATTTGTGATACAGCAACAAAGAAAGCAAAAGCACTGGGAATAATTAGAAAGAAAAATACTTTATTCGTGGCTGAAGTAAAGGGTCACATTGATGAAAAATACATTAATGATTACATAAACTTTTTACCGATAATAAGAAACTTAGATATTATCACAGATGAAAAAACAATTGGCAGTTTTATGTATAATTACATGAAATCAAACAATCTACCAGTTGACCAGAAACAGAGAAAATTAACTCAGTTAGCATCAACACACAACCAATATCAACCATTTTCTTCTTATTATCTTTGGTATCTAATAGACAGATTTCATTTTATCATTGATGACATTCAATCAATTTTAACATTTACTAAAAACACTTGTTTTAATGAATTTGCGAACGAATTTATGAACGAAAGACAAAAGGCTGAATTAGAAGGAAATAAAGGAAAAAGTTTATTTTGCAAGATTTCGCTTAATGGATCATATGGTTACGATGCAATGAATACACAAAATTACGCAAAGACTAAAATAATGAATGCACAGAAGGCACGCGTTGCATGTATGTCAAATAAGTTTAAAAACATAAGAGAAATAGGTGAAGATACGTATCAAGTGATGCTTAAAGATAGATTTTATAGATGTGATACATGTTTACAAGAGGCATTCTTCACTTTAGATAATGCTAAATACTGGTATTTGGTTTTCATTTATGATTTTATGTATAAATGCATGGATGTTAATCGTTTTCATTTCATTGAAGGTGATACTGATTCATCTTATTGGGCAATCGCTGGCGACCCAAATCTTCCTAACACTCAAGCATTTCAAGCAATTGTAACCGATAAACAATTTTATGATAAAAACATTTTCAAATTCGCACCATTTGATTTCTTCTGTTTTGATGAGAAATTTAAACCTAAATTAAAGAATAAAGCTGAAGAAAAAGCACATGAGAAGAAGTTATTGGGTTTAGCAATTGAGAAACAAGGTGATAACATGGTTGCTTTATGCCCTAAGTGTTATACATCATTCAACGGTTCAATTGATGGAAGTGATTTTAAAAAGATTGCACAAAAAATGAAAGGTGTTAGTTTACGACAAAATAAACAATTAACACCTAAAAATTATTTGGATATAATAAATGATAAAGTGATATTTGATGGTCAGAATATTAATTTACAACTTAAAAACGGGTCAATGACTCGCTTAACAATCGGTAAGACTGCATTAACAGGAGCACACACTAAGGCTGTATGTTGTGAAAATGGATGTTGTATGCCGTTTATTTAATGAAATACCACAGAAGAGACAAAAGGAACCGTTAATGATGGTTTTGATACTATGATTCAAAGAGGTGGGCACCCTTAAAACATTGATTTTTTTTTTTATATAAATGGATAACACAGATTTAAAAATTTTAATTGTGATTTAGTTTAATCAAAATTTTCTTATTATTATGATTTAAAAGCATATCTCCAAAAATATATAAAATATAACGGGTGATGATATGGAATATTATTATCCATATTATAAAAATGAAATTTTGAAATATCATAATAAAATAATTTCTGAAATTAAAGACAAAATTAAAAATAATGAATATTCAAAGGGAAAAACTAAATCACAACTTAAACAGTTGAAAGATTTCAAAAATAAAGTATTAACAGAAGAAGATATTGATGAATTATATAAATTATATAATCCTGAGCCGCAAAAACCAAAGGAACAAAAAAAAAAAGGTGCAAAACGCCCAGGTCTTCAGACCATAAATGATGCACAAGCTTTAATTTATGATTCATTAGTTAAACCATATTCAGCCCGACTTTTAAATGAAGATCAACTTTTGGAATTCATCCTTCAACATAAACTCGAAGCAGGAAAGTATATCAAACCTTTATATACAGCATATTTAAAACAAATGAATAGAATACATCCAGAATTAATGAAGAGGGAATGATTCCAAAACTTCATCATCCAAAATCAAAGCAGATAAAATTAAACCACTTGCAACACCAAAACCTCCAACGACAGTACCTGCAACACCAAAACCGCCTCCTCCTTCAGTTAATCCTTCATCATTCACTTTATTATATCCATTTCAAACATTAAAGAAACAAAAAGATTTTAAAAAGGGTTTCAAGATATTAAATAAACCAACTGACCCGAAAATTCAACCGTTAAAGGAAAAATTTAGTCGCCCTTCATTTGCTCCATATCCATATTCATACGAAATCGATCATCTGGAATATTCAAAAGGAAACGTTACTTATTTATTTGCCATTAACATTAACACTAGATATTTATATTGCATTCCAGTGAAAGGGAAAACAGAACAGGAAACAAGAAGAGCTATTCAATACTTACTAGATCATGAAAGAGTAGATAATATCAGGGGTGATGGTGATAAAGGATTTCAGGCAGCTATGACTCATTATTTCCCACAAATTAATTTTTACTTTTCATCCTCTCCATATACGTTTCATAATAAAATAGTTGATGCAGTAATGAGAACTCTTAGAGATGCGTTAGGGGTTAACGGTCAGATATACTGGGATGGAAATCATGACTCCATCATACAGCAGTTAGTATATTATTATAATAATACATGGCATAGAACTATAAACATGAAACCAGTGGAAATGAAAAATGATATTTCAAAAGAATGGGAATATATTAGAAAGCAAATGGAAAGGTTGAATGATGTTAAACGTGAACAAATTAATTCGGGGCTCATGAATTTTAAACAAGGGGATAAAGTTTTGATTCATCTCGATTATGGAAAAACTGAGAAATCAATGACAAAAAGAAGACGAAGATTTGACACAATAGCTGAATTTGTTAGATATATTAACGGCAATGCATTAGTTGAGGTTAACAATAAATTAATAGAAATTCCGATTTATTTTATTACTCCATTATATTTAAATAATATTTAATTTTTTTATTTCGTAAGAAATGAGTGACAACAAAGCAGTCAAGAGTCCAGACGATGAATATAAAAAGAAACTAAACAGAATTAAATCAAAAATATGCTATTACAAAAAGAAGCCGCAATGCGGTGGGGTTGAAAACGATAAAGAGAGGAAAGAAATAATCGAAAAATTAAAAACTTACCGTTCAATCCTTAAACTGAGTGAAGCAAAAATAAAAGAATTTAATAGAATAAATAAATTGATTGGAAGAGATGAATTTAATAAAGATGAATTTTTAAACTCTATCCAAATTTAATTTTTATTCCTCTTCGACAACATCTCTCTTTCCATCATTACTGCATAACCACATTTTCTCAATTTTAGTGGTTTGTTATTTTTAACATGTTCTTGCATCATTTTTATCATTTCCTCCCTTGTTATGATTCGTGGTAAATTTTGAGCTTGTGGGGTATTCATTTATGATAAAAATAAAATTTTGTTATTGTTAATGGTTTCGTTAATGGTTTCAGGTCATTCATTTATTAATTATTTTTGAAGAACTGAAGGTGTCACTCGGTCACTCGGTGTCACTCGGTTAATTAACTTCTCTGAAAAATGGTGACAACATGACATTTTGACAACAACATAGGTTCTTCGTTAATGTTTTCGTTAATGTTTTCGTTAATGTTTTCGTTAATGTTTTCAGGAAGGCACTTATGAAGTATTTTTGAAGAACTGAAGGTGTCACTCGGTCACTCGGTGTCACTCGGTTAATTAACTTCTCTGAAAAATGGTGACAACATGACATTTTGACAACAACATAGGTTCTTCGTTAATGTTTTCGTTAATGTTTTCGTTAATGTTTTCGTTAATGTTTTCAGGAAGGCACTTATGAAGTATTTTTGAAGAACTGAAGGTGTCACTCGGTTAATTAACTTCTCTGAAAAATGGTGACAACATGACATTTTGACAACAACATAGGTTCTTCGTTAATGTTTCGTTAATGTTTTCGTTAATGTTTTCGTTAATGTTTTCAGGAAGGCACTTATGAAGTATTTTTGAAGAACTGAAGGTGTCACTCGGTCACTCGGTGTCACTCGGTTAATTAACTTCTCTGAAAAATGGTGACAACATGACATTTTGACAACAACATAGGTTCTTCGTTAATGTTTTCGTTAATGTTTTCGTTAATGTTTTCGTTAATGTTTTCAGGAAGGCACTTATGAAGTATTTTTGAAGAACTGAAGGTGTCACTCGGTCACTCGGTGTCACTCGGTTAATTAACTTCTCTGAAAAATGGTGACAACATGACATTTTGACAACAACATAGGTTCTTCGTTAATGTTTTCGTTAATGTTTTCGTTAATGTTTTCGTTAATGTTTTCAGGAAGGCACTTATGAAGTATTTTTGAAGAACTGAAGGTGTCACTCGGTCACTCGGTGTCACTCGGTTAATTAACTTCTCTGAAAAATGGTGACAACATGACATTTTGACAACAACATAGGTTCTTCGTTAATGTTTTCGTTAATGTTTTCGTTAATGTTTTCGTTAATGTTTTCAGGAAGGCACTTATGAAGTATTTTTGAAGAACTGAAGGTGTCACTCGGTCACTCGGTGTCACTCGGTTAATTAACTTCTCTGAAAAATGGTGACAACATGACATTTTGACAACAACATAGGTTCTTCGTTAATGTTTTCGTTAATGTTTTCGTTAATGTTTTCGTTAATGTTTTCAGGAAGGCACTTATGAAGTATTTTTGAAGAACTGAAGGTGTCACTCGGTCACTCGGTGTCACTCGGTTAATTAACTTCTCTGAAAAATGGTGACAACATGACATTTTGACAACAACATAGGTTCTTCGTTAATGTTTTCGTTAATGTTTTCGTTAATGTTTTCGTTAATGTTTTCAGGAAGGCACTTATGAAGTATTTTTTGAAGAACTGAAGGTGTCACTCGGTCACTCGGTGTCACTCGGTTAATTAACTTCTCTGAAAAATGGTGACAACATGACATTTTGACAACAACATAGTGGGATTAATGCAAAAATAAAGTCAAATCATACTTTATAAAGCTTCATTTACAGGTATTTCATCATCAGTAAATGAATCCTCATCATCGTTTGGTTCAACCTGTTTATATAATCCTTTCATTTCTTCTTTCAAAACATAATACCATGTCTGTTTACCATCTATTCTTCTCTGTTTCTTATCACATTTATCCTTAATACTCATTTGGAAATTCTTGTCTTTCATGTCTGATGGTTTGCAGAATAAAGCATTTTTACATATCATACCTACACACAATTCATCATAATGTGTATTTATCCATACATCTAAAGGATTTGATGATAATTCAAGTAAATCTTGTTTGGCTTCAGTCATCGGTATGATTCGTACATTAAATGATGAAAGGTCATATTGCATAAAATACGTCAGTAAATTATCATAAAATTCCTTAGTGCATGAATTCATCAAATCCTTGAAGTAATCAAATTGACCCTTAAATTTACCATTAACTCTTAAAACTACATATCTTCTGTCTCCAACTTCAATTTTGACAGGGTAGACGTTATTAGTTACGAAAATGAAATTGGCAACATTCTGAGCAGTTCTTCTGGGTTGATTCTTTTCATTAATTCTAATCTCATTATCCGTAATAATTGATTTCAAAGCGTTGAAGTTTGCAAGTCTGTCTTCACCTACATTCTTGAGTTCATTAAGTACAAGAAACATTTTATTCTCAACTACTGAGTTGAAATTACCCGTTAGCTCACTTATTTCGGTAATGTTTTTGCATGAATAACCAGCGAGAAGTTCAGAAATAATGTCTGTAAATCTGTTTTTACCTGTTCCCTGAAGTCCTTTCAAAATAATTGCTGTTTCATTCTTGATTCCAGGATGTTGAATCATTGATGCAATCCAGCCGAGAAGGTATTTATACACTTCATCGTTATTATCACAAATGGCTTCTTTAATGAAATTCATAAACATCTCAATTTTTGAGTAATCAGGCTTTTCGAGAATGTTGTATTTATAACCTTGAAACGTTGAGAAAACATCAGGGGAATCAGATTTAAAGCAAACACCCTTAACGGTTAATGAAGACAATTGATTTAATAGTACGTCCCATGCTGTTATTGTTTTACCTTCTTCTTTAAATAATTTAATCATTTTGAGTGACTCTTTCATGTTTGATTGAAGAACGAATGATATTTGATTCATTTTATCGTGGATATTATAGTCCTTTTGAATGAAATATTTATTTCCATAATCTACAAAACGGACTACACGTGATAAATCCTCAATTACTTCAGAACTGTTTTTATACTGATGATTTTCAGCCTTGCGTCTAATATCTGTTATCAAAAACGAGTCAT